CCTCCCTGGCCTCTTCATCCGGCCAAAGTCCACGTCGACGGTCGAAAGAGATGCTTTCCAGCGTCTTCTCCAACACTATCGTCTGGATGTATCCATGCACATAACAAATAGCAATGGTGATAGGCTGTCACCCTGTAGTATCCCGCGCTCCAAGAACAATAATAAAAGTTTATATAGCAATAAAAATGTATAAAAAACCCAACAAAAGGAATTCAAAGCAATTAAAGCGAATGTAAATTAAGGCAGAACTTATACTCGGATCGACTTATACTCGAGATCTTAGGGTATATGATATTATATGACAAAATTATATGACAAAATTAATAGATATACTACATATCTCACGTGTTTCAATGGCAAAAATCTAATAAGGAAAATACGAAAAACTTTTTGCACTATCGTTTCTTAAGAGCATAAAATTGGTAAAAAAAGTAACTGTCCATACAATTTTAATGGAGCAGTGTAGGGTGGCCAAGAATTACCTCAACACACAAAAGGCCTGGCTTTTAACGAAATAATTAAATTCATCTCGAAATGTTAACTTAAATATCTTTATTCAACATATAAACAGTAACAAATTAACAATTAAATTCAAATTTGCCTCCATCGGCATTCAGACAGGCCTGCAAACGTTTGGGAAACGCGTTGCCCGTTGAAAAACGCACCGTGGCAAGCAAATAGGCATCATAAATAGGCAAACAGGGTATCCCATGCTATGATGAGCGCCTTCTTCAAACTTTCGATATTTTTATATGGTTTTGCACATGCCCTGACTTCAAGAACACTCCAGACTGAGTAATCCAATGGGCTAAGATCGGGTAAGCTGGGTGGCCCACCCAGAAAACGAGATCAAGTCCGGGAAGGTCTTTGAACAAAACTCTTCTTTGCCTTCTTTGCTTCTCTGCACCTTCTTTGCCTTGTGAGCCGGCACACCATCTTGTTGATAAGTTCAAATTCGATTTTTGAAGTGGCGTTGAGCCCACAGAACAACCTCCTTCTTTAGCAAGGCCAAATAATCGACCGCATTTACTTTCACACCTTGAAAAACAAAGATCAACGGGGTCTTTCCATTGGCGGTTATCCTGGCAAAAACCATCACCGATGCAGGATTGAGAACTGCGCGATACGGTGACGTTTGGCTGAGATTCTGCCCAAACTCGATCATTTTCCTTGTTGAGAATTCCCTCGACGGTAAATATCTTTTCATCAGTGAACAGGATGTTTGTGGTGATCGATTCCATTGAGTCGTTGCAAAAGTTGGGCAAAATCGGTCTTTTCGCTTGCCCTTCGCAGCAGCTGATAGTAATTGAGATTTGTTCTTCTTGTAGGCTTCATTTACAGCTTTTTCTTGATGATTGTGTTGACGGAGCTTCTCTTCAGACCCATTTTCTGTGCCATTCCTCGAGCCGATTGGTTAGGGTTTAATCTTAGACGATCGCGCACTTTCTTGACATTAGTAACCGTTGTTCGTTTTGCGGAGTAACCGCTGTTCGTTTTGCACCTCTTCCAGAGCGATCAGAAACTGTGCCCAGAGTTTCATAACGTTGAATGGTTCGAGAAATGAGGCTTCTGGCGACATTCTGGGGCTTCTGGGGACATTTAGGCGCTTTGAGATCTCGCTCGCCTGAACACGCTGCCGCTTGAGCTCAAGGATCGATTGTCGATGTGGAGACGCTTTCACCATTCCTGAAAACTAATGTACTAATGTACTAATGTACTAGTGTACTAGTGTACTAATGTATTAATACTAATGTATTGAAAGTTAGTAATCATACCATAAAATAAGAAAAATACACAAAAACCATAAAAATAGGTAAGCAAAAAGTGAAATGGAGCTCATAAAATAATACGACGTTGTTGCGGTAATTCTTGGCCACCCTGTATCACCCCTGTATACCTTTAATTCGTTTACGAATTTGCTTTATTAATAAATTAATAAGTAGGAAAGTAAAATCCCGAAATTCTCATTGCTTTCACACGCATTTTCTAGAGTGGCGAACGCTGACCTCGCGAAATGGTGACGTCTGGAAGAGTGGACTGTTCAAGTGGAACTGTCGAGCTCCACAACCTTCACCGCACGATTCGAATAAATGCGATAATTGGTGGCAGGTAAAATTTAGCTTTAGCTTAGAGATTTAAAATCTCTGAATCTAATTGAAATTTAGAATTTTCGATCTTAACAACGATTTCAACATAAATTTTCGAGTTTTAAGTAATTAATTAATTTAATTAGCTTTATTTATTATTTCTTTGCAATTCAAATTCCCAAAAACTGATCCCTAAAGCGATCTTGAGAAATAGCCGAAGATTTCTTTTTAGAATCAAAACGATTGGGAGGTCGTGGTTGTGATCAGCATGATTGTGGCCTTTGCATCGATGTGTTTGGGATTGGTGACAACGACTTTTCCGAGAGAGGTTTGAGAAAATTTCGGGAATACAAACTCTCACTCACTCTGAAACGGTTTTACGACCTTTTCCCGAAGAAATCCTTTTATTTTTTTCAAGTGCCTAAATTTGTTACTGTATAAAGAATAAAAGCTAGTTTTGAGCCGCTATTCATGAAAACTTTTGCATTTTCTATATAATGATTCCGGGTTTCGCTATAAAGTTTTCGTTATATATACCGTATTTTCTCTAATAGTAGTGCACGCTGAGCAAAATATTCTGTCTAACTGGTCCAAAATAACTTGGGAAACTTCAGAGAAATCCTGAATTCTTCAGATTCTTTAGATTCTTCAGATTCTTCAGATTCTTTAGATCCTTCAGATTCTTCAGATTCTTTAGATCCTTCAGATTCTTTAGATTCTTCAGATTCTTTAGATTCTTTAGATTCTTTAGATCCTTTAGATTCTTTAGATCCTTTAGATTCTTCAGATTCTTCAGATCCTTTAGATCCTTCAGATCCTTCAGATCCTTCAGATCCCTCAGATTCTTTAGATCCTTTAGGTTCTTTAGATTCTTTAGATCCTTCAGAGAATTTCTCGGTTTAGTTACCCAAGCTTCGTTTTAACCACAGTCAGTCTATTGTAAGCAGTCTAAATGTAGCTAACGATGAGATCTTGTGGGGGATTTGAGTGTTCAGCTTTTGTGGAAACTTTGAAAGCTGTAAAGTAGTCACCAACTCGACTACTATTAGAGAAAAAGCAGTAAAAGCGAAAGACGCACAATTTGCCGTCTGACAGGGCAAAAATAGCAAAGTTGAAGCAGACGTTGGAGACGTCCAGACGTCCAGACGTCCAATAGCATCCCGGTGCACTACTATTAGAGAAAATACGGTAGATAGAGAGAATTGATTGTTTTTGCCGAAGCACTCGTTTCTTCATCTCAACCTTTCAGAAATTCGTCTATTCGTTCTCTTTCTTCTCGATTTTATGGACAATTTTCTTGGGTATTTCCGTGATCGTCTACGGACTGAATAACAAGGAAATAACTTGTAAATTTTTGCAAATCTTTTAAAAAAAAACCAAAAGTTTCTTTTCTTATTGGGTTTTCGGGTTTATGAATGCGAGTTTATTGCCAAAAATTCTTTTTTTCCCAAAAGTACAAAGCTATTAAATCGTTATTCCCGTTTGTACCATTAGAAAGGTAAATCTGTGTTCTACATTAGGCTTTAGATTAGATTAGATTAGATTAGTTTAGCGTTTTTTGAAAAGCTTCATTTTTGTCAATTTTTCCGGAATCCAAAGACAAGTAGTTAAAATTAGAGTTCGGCAAACAAAACCAAAACCAAAACAAACCAAACCAAAACAAACCAAAACCAAAACAAACCAAAACAAAACCAAAACCAAAACCAAAACACCAAAACAAACCAAAACCAAAACAAAACCAAAACCAAAACAAAACAAACCAAAACTCAATTTGCATATAAATTAACATGTAAATTTAAAATTGTAAAATGCAAATTTGCCTTTCACTTTTTCTCACTCCACAAAATCTCGCGGCCGAAAAAAGGACCAAAACACGACCTCGAAATTTCGAAACAAAAAATAGCCTATGGGATAGATTTTTGGATGCTGATTTCAAATCTGCAAACAGATTTTCGCTAGCTCCTCCCAGTCGCGAGATATTGGCGAGTTTTGGTTAGTTTTGGTTTTGGTTTTGGTTTGTTTTGGTTTTGGTTTTGGTTTTGGTTAAGTTTTGTTTTCCGAAGTCTAGTTAAAATCGTTAAAAAGCGTTTAATTGGCAACTTTTTCGATGAAAAATTAGCATTTTCTGCTTAAATGAAAGACCAAGCATTTATACATTTTGAAAAATCAAATTTTCAGCCAAATCCATTGCCAATTCAGCCAAAGCCAAAGAAGAAAAAAACGGTTGCACAATCGTTTTTTTTTCTAAATCTTTCAAATTTGTTCGAAAATTTTCTCAAATCAGCCAATATCCTTATTTTAATGCATTCTTTAGATAAAAATTCTGAAAAAAACGGCTGAAACGAATTTAGCTGAAAATTTGCCGACATATGGCCGACATTTTGCCGACAGCTTCGTTTTAACCACAGACAGTCTATTGTAAAGAAAAGCTACCGTATTTTCTCTAATAGTAGTGCACCCAGAGCGTCGCCTAAATTCCTCGAAATCTCGAGAACCGTTTATCAGAACGCATCGATGTGGGGTCGGAAAATGTAGCTGACGATGAGATCTTGTGGGGGATTTGAGTGTTGAGCTTTTGTGGAAACTTTGAAAGCCGTAAAATAGTCGCCAACTCGGCTCGCCGGGGTGCACTACTATTAGAGAAAATACGGTAATAGCTTTGTTCCCTTGGAAAAAATAATTTTTGGCGAAAAACTCGCATTCAAAACCCGACAACCCAATATTATTCTTAAATTGCTGACAATTGCTGACTAAAACTTTTCAGATCACTTTGACTTTGGAGAGGGAGTGACTGAGGGATATGGGATCGGATTCTGGCTTGCACTCATAGCATTTCTCCTGTCGATTGGCGTGACGATAACGATTCTTGTGCTTCTACTTGATGTGCTTAAAGCAAGACCCCTTTTGAGAGCCATGTCTGCAGAGGAACTTCTAAAGAAACAAGGCTGGTCTCTGGTTCGAACTTCCGAAATGAATCTACCTCTCGCCGTAGGGGATGCTATCTGCGAGGCTCTTCTTCATTTGGAACAAAAAAGGAATTCGGTAAAGACATTTTAAACCAGATCATTTATAAATCATTTAATTAAATATTATTTTAATAAGAATTTCGATGTAAAACACTAGAGTAAATCTCCGTTTTGAATCGGGAAAATCGGGAAAATCGGGAAAAATTTTTTTGACGATTTTTAGACGGATTTTTTTGACGGAGATAACTCAATTAAAAACGATCGTACTCTTCTATTATGAGAGCCCAAATTATCATAAATGCAAATTTACTTTTATACTGTCATACCTCGAGATATAAAGTCGTTAAAGTTCGACCGGCTTTTGCAAGTTTTCCTTAAGAAAAAAAACCATAGAAGCCGTCCAACTTTGACACCGTTTTTCTCTATGTTCTTACACATGAGTATACAAGATAAATTGTACTTTTCTATAACCAAATTTAATGAGGATCATTTTAAAACCAACCACAAGTCGACCTGATCACTGGGAGTCGAGTTATAGAGTCAAATAAAAAAGTCCCCAAACCCCGAGACTCGTCACGGAATTTGGAAGTTCAACTTTGACACAAATTTTCTCTATGTACATGAGTACAGCACAAATACATGAGTACACAAAACAAATTGTACTTTTCTCTAGCCAAATTTAATGCGGATTCTTTTAAATGCAATTACGACCCAAAACGATTTTCAGCTTCCCCTTTCAGACGAAAATATTTACCAAATTTTTCATCAAAATTTTATTTTAGCACAATCGGCTTGAAAACATGAAGGCATCACAACACTTGGAAGACTATTTCCCCGCCGTTCACTCTTACAAGAAAGGAAACGCTGTCGAGGCTAACGAGTGAATGAAAAGTGTCGAAATTTTGTAATACTGTGTCGTTTTTTTTTTTGTGTATTTCATTCTCGTGAATTTTTCTTGAAATAGCTACGTCTGAATAAAGCTACTCTTTTGCTAACTTCTCAACTTTCGTCACTTTCGAGTGAATTGTGAACATAGGAGCACTTTTTCTAGCTTTTCTAGCTTTTCTAGCTTTTCTAGCTTTTCTAGCTTTGTTCAACTTTTTCTAGCTCCGAGAGAAAGTCTCAGAAAATGCACTCGGCTCCTCGGAAAATGTCTCGGGAAGTTACGGTTTCCCCCACCCTGAAGTGAAAAACAATGAATCTATAGATTTCTGCACAAGTTTATTGTTTTTTCTTTTCGAATCCGAGGGGCGGGGCGGGGCACATTCTGGATTCTTTTCTCTAGTTTCTCCCTTTTTCTCTGATCTGTTTCAGGTGTTTTCAAGTTTTCAGGTGAAACGCAGTGTACGGCTTATTTTTTTTATGGAAAAAAGATGTCCATTGGGGTCATCGTGGAGAGCTCGAAATCGTTGAGTGGTCAACAAAACAAAAATTCTTTCAGCAATTCATTAGAGAATCAAAATTTTGCTTCCTCAAATAGACCATCGTAGAGGTTTTTTTTTGCAAAATTGTAAACTTGAATAAATTGAGTTTTTTCTAAATCAAATTTCTTGAAAAATGAAGTGGCTATTGGCGCCTGATGAAGATGGATGAAGTGATGGAAGTGACGTCTGATGAAGATGAAAGAAGATCAAAGATGAAGTGGCTATTGGCGCCTGATGAAGATGGATGAAGTGATGGAAGTGACGTCTGATGAAGATGAAAGAAGATCAAAGATGAAGTGGCTATTGGCGCCTGATGAAGATGGATGAAGTGATGGAAGTGACGTCTGATGAAGATGAAAGAAGATGAAAGATGAAGTGGCTATTGGCGTCTGGTGAAGATGGATGAAGTGATGGAAGTGACGTCTGATGAAGATCAAAGAAGATCAAAGATGAAGTGGCTATTGGCGCCTGATGAAGATGGATGAAGTGATGGAAGTGACGTCTGATGAAGATGAAAGAAGATGAAAGATGAAGTGGCTATTGGCGTCTGGTGAAGATGGATGAAGTGATGGAAGTGACGTCTGATGAAGATGAAAGAAGATGAAAGATGAAGTGGCTATTGGCGTCTGGTGAAGATGGATGAAGTGATGGAAGTGACGTCTGATGAAGATCAAAGAAGATCAAAGATGAAGTGGCTATTGGCACCTGATGAAGATGAAAGAAGGTGAAAGATGAAGTGGCTATTGGCCAGTTGTGGCGTCAAGAGAGTGGACTGTCATTTATTTAATAGAAAATGACAAAATAAACGAAAGGCTCACAAGGACTTATCACTAAAATGCGAATTTTAGTGATTTCTTTTTGTGTTTTGAAAGCATTTGAAAACCGAGTTTGAAAACACAAATGAGAATTCAAATTTATGGAAAATGATTTTTTTGACAGAAACTCTTTTCTCTTTTTTTGTTGGCTTCTGGCCGTGCAATTAGAACTTTATAACCCTTTTATATCTTTCAAATGATGTATTGTAACATTAGTGCTTTATATATTAGGTTGATGCAAAAGTCTTTTTCAATTTTTTCGTACTTCCGTTAAAAAGTAACAAATGCACCAATTGAATAACGGTTTATTGCATTCGAAAGGCCAATTATTTTTCTGCAAAATGACATTAAAACGAGTTTAAAATGTCTTATGTCCAGATTTTTTCGAGAGCCTGAAGTCGGGTAGTGCCGTGAGAGCCGTCCAAAAAAGGCGACGGCTCGATGATGCATTTTAGACGCTTTAGCTAAGGAAACCAATCTTGATGTTAATAAATAAAAGATAGAGCACAAAAAGTTAGGTAAATAGCCAAATTTTCAGAGAAATTGATTCAGCCAATTTCTTTATAGAGGTTTTTATAGATTTTTATGAAAAACCCGTTTTCACTCTCGAATTTGCTTGAAAGTGAACCGAAATTGACTTAAAAAGATGGGAAATTGAACAATAAACACTTTTCATTTAGAGCAAACCATAGGCTAATTGATGACTTTGTTATTTTTCAAAAGAAGTACGAAAAAAATGAAAAAGACTTTTGCATCAACCTAATAGTTCTATTTTCGATGGCAAAAGATGCTTTGTAAAAAAAGAAAAAATTGACTACCAGGCGGTGACTTGATTATTCGATTTGTCTGTAAAATGTCACTGTAAAAACAATAAATGAATGATGTTTAACCAAAATGCAAATTCTCTTTAAACGATTAAGATGACTGAAGATTGGTGACTGATTGCCTTTTGGATTTTTTGAATAACGTATTTATTTTAATAGAGCCTCTAATAGAAGCAAAAACTATTGATATTCAGCTTAGCAGACAGAATACTTTTGATTTGTGAGTCTTTAACGCTATATAAGGCATTTTCTTGAGAAAAATCGCATTCTTTATCATTTATTTTGTATAAGCAGTAGAAATTTTGATGTATTAGAATAAATACGGTAGTTGAAAAGTGACAGGATTAAGGCTTTGCATTATCGACGGTTGATTAAGGATTTCTGGTTTTATTAGGTTGTTTTTGCAACTGTCTTTTTCTTAATTAATTGAAAATGGCTTACCAATACAAACTGGTACGAGTTAACTAGTTTTCTCAAAAGAAAAAAAAAATGCTACTTTCGAGACTTCTACAATCTGTAAGACTAACAAATGGAAACTTGGGGCAAAAAAAAAACAATGTTAAACTTGTTTGATTGCCTACTGTAAATACTGTAATTGAAGGGCACTGTTCCCATAAAAAATTGGTCGCCTAAAAAGTCAAAGTCACTACTTTTGAAAAAGAGTTAAGCTGAAAAGTGCTTAGAATGGTGGATATGGACTTACAGATTATATTAGGTACAAATTTGGTACGAATCGACGCAGAATTTAATTAGCTACAAAATGATATATTAGGTAAATGCATAAGAAATGCGGATCTCAACATTTTCATAAATTTCCAACGATAGAAACCTGATGAATGAATGTTATAATATCGATGAATGCTATAAACTATTTGAAAGTAGTAAATCTTCTCTACAAAATAGGCTAAAACGTGCTTCAATTGATCGAACCATTGAAGAAATTTCGAGGGCGAAATGCAAGTGACCAAAAAAGGGCACTTTTTGAAAACCCCGAAGCTCAACACTCAAATCCCCCACAAGATCTCATCGTGAGCTACATTTTCCGATCCCACATCGATAGGTTCTGATAAGCGGTTTTCGAGATTTCGAGCAATTTAGACGACGCTCAAGGTGCACTGCTATTAGAGAAAATACGGTATGTCTTGTGCTCGATATAACATCAAATTATAATAGTGAGCCATGTAATTGCCAATGATACTCGACTCGTTAATCAAGCTCGTTAATCAAGCTCCTTTCCGTTGTACATTCGCAAATGGGCGCACCGTGCTTTCAGGCCTTCCGGCAGTATTCGTGGATTAAAATTGGTTACCTAGGTGTTCCGCTAGTTCCGTTCGATACTCCAACTTTGGACGTCTCCAACGTCTGCTTCAACTTTGGTATTTTGCCCTGTCAGACGGCAAATTGTGGGTCTTTTGCTTTTACCGTATTTTCTCTAATAGTAGTACACCCCGGTGAGCCAAGTTGATGACTATTTTACGGCTTTCAAAGTTTTCACGGAAGCTCAACACTCAAATCCCCCACAAGATCTCATCGTGAGCTACATTTTCCGATCCCACATCGATAGGTTCTGATCAGCACTTTTTGAGACTTCGAGAAATTTAGGCAAGGCTCAGGGTGCACTACTATTAGAGAAAATACGGTATGTCTTGTGCTCCGATGCAACATCAAATTATGTTTTTCCCATTTCATCGATAAATATCATCAATGTTGATTCCTTATTGTTTAATTGTTTAACCTTATTGGGTTGGTGAATTGAAAACTGTCGGACTTTGAACTAAAATTTATTCAACATAAAACCATCAAGTAGTGCACCTCAGCGAGTTGATGACTATTTTACGGCTTTCAAAGTTTTCACAGAAGCTCAACACTCAAATCCCCCACAAGATCTCATCGTCAGCTACATTTTTCGACCCCACATCGACAGGTTCTGATAAGCGGTTTTCGAGATTTCAAGCAATTTAGACGACGCTCAAGGTGCACTACTATTAGAGAAAATACGGTATTCAAAATTGCTGTATGCACCAGCTTTTGCACACCAGCTTTGTGAAGCTAACATTTACTTTTTGTTTGGTGCATGAGAAAATCATTATTCATTATATCCAAGGAACAACAGCTCGTTTTGCCAAGAAAAAAAACGATCCATTTGACAATCAATGCCGTTTTTCGCATTTATTACAGAAATCTTTTTGCATTTATTTTTATCATCCCTACTTTTCACTCGATATTCTCCATTCCTTGTTTACCGGAAAGAATGAATTATCAAACAATATGGTCGCGTCCGTTTCCTTCCTATTTGCGTTGCTATTTTGCAATTATTCGCGTCGCATTTTTCGCCCTTTTCTCCCTTCCCGAAATTGTTTTATTTTTGGTCTGCGGGCTTCTTGCCTTGTTTCTTGGGGGACTTGGTTGTTTCTTTTGATGTGCATGCTGTTTTTGTAATGGTTATTGTTGCATTTTGGTTTTGTACTAATAAACAGTAAAATTATAAATTCAACTTACTTTATGCTACCCTTCAGGTTTTAAATCCTGTTTAGATAACTGGTCTAACATTGTAGAGAGAGCTTACTAACATTTGTGTCGCCACCGACGAGTATTAATCTCGTGTTGGATGTTGCGCGTTCTTGTTATGTTGTAAGCGCTTTGGGGAAACCCTTTTAACTTTCTTTGTGCAATTCGGCTATTCTGAAGCAAAATCATCCTCGATGATAAGCTTAAAGCGGGTCGCACCCCAAACTATATTATCCATGTTTCGACGAGACTTCAGCCGAAAGAGAAGGTGATGGAAATGTTAAGTTTCAAATTTGGCACCTATTTTCAGACAAACTACCGTAATCCATCCGCAATTTTTCATTCGATCATTCTAATTTTGGTCTTATTGGCTGAGCTTTGTGCTTCCTCGCCGAATGATACCAAAATTGGGTTGATCAAAAGGAAAACTCGTGGCTGGAAGTACAGTAGTTTGTCTAAAATGTCGAAATTAAGTGCTTTTTCAAAAAGAAAAGCACTTAATTTCGTGTTTATTAAATCCTTTTGTATCAAATTCACTCAATTTTATTAGTAAACCTTTGAAAGCCGTAAAATAGTCATCAACTCGGCTCGAAGGGATGCACTACTATTAAACGGTCAACAAAAATGTGCTCGAATTGGCTCGCCTTCTCTACGATAATGGACTTCTGATGGTTAAAGAATGAGGAAATCGTTTACTTATTCATTTTGTTTTATTCTGGTTAGCCTTTCTTGAAATAGTTGTTATGTTTGTTGTTGTTTTGTTGCGGTTGATGTTACGCTTATTTTCTATAAAATCGATGGTATAATGGAAATTTTTAATCATTTTATTCATAACTACCATTTCAAAATGACGGTTCCTTAAGTTTTTAATATCAAAGGCTATTTGCAATCCGTTTTCCACCAATCGCTCACCGCCGTATCGTAGTAGTGCGTGTGGTCCTGGAAATGGGTAAATCTGAATTGTTTGATTGCTAAAATTGCAATAATCCCACTAAAATACTCACATCGAATTGCCACATGATCTTGCTGTTCGCGCATTGACCGATCAAATCCCCATAGGGGCAAATTGTGTAGTTGGCGGTAGTCATCGCATTGTCGTACCTGGGAAAGGCTTTTGGTCAACAAATTTGATATTTGATCGCGGTTTTGGTATCACAAATCGTACTCTCACAAAAAGCTGGTCTCAAAATTTCAATTCACCCTATTGATAGTATTCACTCTTGATAGTCCTCTTCATCCTTCTTTCTTCTTCTTTTCAATGCCCGCTCTGCTCACCAAATTTCGAAACGATGATGCATCAGATCGACTTCTTGTGGCGGGATGTGAGGAATTGGATCGAGGTGGTGGACCACACGGTAGGAGAAGGGAATCTGGGAAGTGAAAAGCATTGAAAAAAATTTTTGATTTGACTCACATTAGCGTCATGCCACTCCGCGTATCTCACATCGCCTGTCCTCGGCTGCCCGAATGTCATCATTTTTATCTAGAAAATTGAATTCTCCACAAATTCTCCACACTTGACTTTTCCCCGCGATTCTCTCACCTTTTCCGGTTCGAAAAGCCCCCGTTTGACGAGATACGCCGCACAAAGAGACGCCAACGATCCGCCAAGTGAATGCCCGACGATCTAGAAGATTTTTTTGGAAAAGAAAACGATTTTCGGTGATCCTGGAACGCACAGCACTCTTGGACATAGTTTCTGTTTGGAAAAATCGGCTTTTAAGAGTCAGCACGGTCACCCCCGAAATTGTTCAAGCTCAAATTTAACCAAAATTTGCATCTCTACGTGCAATCGGCTAGCGGAAACGCCAAATTGGAACTCACTTTAGAAAATGGGCTTAAAAAGTGAGCAGGATATGATTGACGGAAATTTGGGATACGGTAACGTATCCACTGTTTAAGGTGAAAGTCGAATTCGGCGAAATCCGACCAAATTAGCTATCGTATCCCCGAAATTGGAGTGCATTTTAGAAAAGTGCGCCCAAGAAAGCACTCACATAGACATCGTACGTTGGGTAGACTTTTCTCAGCGTCATCACTTGCGCCTCCAAGCCGGCGCGCCACAAAAAGAAGAACCCATTAAAGAAATAGTCATAAATTAGGCCGATATTCAAAAAGTTGTCTTTTTTCCTGAAATCTGGATGTCATTCAATAGGTTGGCAGTCATAGTTAGTGGAAATGAAATTTAAAAAAAAACATTTTCCATAAAATCTTACCAAGCAAATTTTCAGGTTTTTTTTGAAAAATCAAAAATTTTAAATAATTTTTCAGGCTATCTGGAACGCACACTTTATGTAAAAAACTTTAAATTTAAACTTTTTAATATTTAAAAATTTTTTTACTTTAGCATCCCCAATATTTCGGCGAATGTCTCAAAGTTTCCGCTTGTGCCGCGAAAAGCGATCATTATCGCTTTTCGGCTGAGATCGAAAGCCGTATACGAATAACAGAAATCACCTGAAGAACTTTTTAAAGTAATTTCAATGAAATAAAGACTTTTATTGTAGTGATCACATGCGACGAGGGTACTGTTGTAGAAATAAGTTGTGGAGAGCTGATTTCTTCAAAAAAAAGGATTATCTTTTGATTAACAATGTGAGACTTGTAAAGGAAACAAACTCCGTACCAGACTTGTTTAAAAACTCACTTCAAACATGGCTGCGGATTAGGGGAATACGTTGCCGCCAACAATGGAAGTGCCATCTTTCTCCCAAACGTGTCATCGAAGGGAAAATTTGCGTTTGGAGATCGCGGGCAATTGTAGGAATCGTTCTAGGAAAGAAGGAGAGGATTTCAGGGAAATTTCGATTCGATTGTAATTAGAAATCGATTGATAAACCTGTAGAAAGATTTCACTCTTGCAGTCAGCCTCTTTCGAGCATTTCGCGTCAACGAGACACCAACTAGAAATTTTTGCTGATTTGAAAAATGTAAAAACTTTTGACGAATTTTTGTTTTGTCCAATCCGTCCTTTCATTTCATCTTTCTTTTCCAAAACAAATTCTCCATTTCATTAATTTCCCATTTCCTCAATCACTCACCCACAACCATCAATTGCTGCTGCACAACTCTCGCAACTCGAATAGCCACAATCACTTAAACAGCCACCGATGAGTCCGAAAATGAGGAAAAAAGGCAAATTGTGTGCCAGCATTTGAATAACAAGCGATAAAATTGTTGAAAAAGCACAGAAAATCGATCTATTTGTTCAGTTAACAATAAGTGCGAAAATGTGAGCTTTGTTATCAAAAGAATCACCAAAAGCCGATTAAATTTTGCCGTGATTTTCAAAGAAGTGTTTAAGGAAAAATCTTTGGGAAAAGAATAGTTTTACAATGACTAAACTATCGGTAAATAAGCAAGTCAATGAGACCGTCTTCCGAACCATCAGTAGCCACCGTGATAATCGCACGCTTCTTAAATGAGAGCATCATGAGGTTCTTCGGGAGTTTCTTTCACGCATTCCAAACCCATTCTAGATAGGTTTCCATTGGTGGAGCCGGATTTTCATTGTGAGTCTTCGTCTTCGCCCATTCATCATTCAATCTTCGTATTAGACTCAAATCCTCGTTTTAAAAGGAGCATTCCAAACCTGATTAGTTAACAAGCATTGATTACTTAACAATAAGTCCGAAAGCTTGAGCTTTAGTACTTAGTAAAATATGAAAGAGCAGATCAAATACTACAAAATAAATAGGGCACGTCATTCTATAAAACGAATTTATTAGCTTTAAAAGATTGTTCAAACTTAAAAAGAAAAAAAAATTGAAAAGCTTTGGTTCACCCTAATACTGCTACTGTAAATATTGTAATATTACCCGTCCCGTGGGTAGACTTGTATAACGATATTATCGATACAAACGACAAGCGCATGTTTGAGCCTTCAGAGCTCGGTTTCTTGTACAGCTATAAACTTATTTCAAGAATGTCAGCTTTTGACTTCAATCTCACACATAGCAAATTCTCATAAGTGAGTGCCTTAAAAGGCTTATCAATACTTATCGATACACAAATATCGATAAGTATCGATAAGGTTTATGAGATGCTTGCACATTAAAAGTCGTTATGTATAAAATCGCAATCAAAAGCTGACATTCTTGACTTTCTCATGAACCAATTTTCACATTGAGAGCTGTTTTGGAAACTGAACGGTCAAAGATAAGCATACCGTTTGTATCGATAATATCGATACGCAAGTCTACCTGTAGGGCACTAGAGGGGTGGGGTACTATTAGGGTATTTACGGTATATAAGCTTACTAAAAGAATTGACCAGAATGAAATTTATCACAAAGCCTCTTTAAATACACGAATACGGAGCATTTTTTGAAAATCACTGTGAAAAATCGCTTTTTTCCAACTTCTAAGCAACTTTTTTTTTCAGTTTTCTACTTCACAATTTTAGTTCTCACTGTTTTCAACAAGGAAATACATTTACCTACCTATAAAAGCCTCAAAAACAATCGTTTTTGCGTCACCGATTCGCCTTTTCACTCTTTGTAAAAAAAGTTTAGACTGTTTCCTTTTATTTGTGAGCAAGTTTAAGCCATTTATCTTGCCATATAGTTACCGAAAAAAGACGCAATTTAAAGCAACACAAACAGCTCTGGAAATAATCACACAAGAAAACTCTCGACAAAAAAAGGAAATGACCCTTGTTACGAGAATAAAATAAAAGCAGCAAATAAAAGCAGGTTAACAATATGAAGACTTTAGCATACAAGAAAGTGTGTAAAATGTGGTAAACATCTGAAACGAAATCACAAGCGCTAACCGAGAGAGCAATGAAATCTCAGCAGAATTGAAAAATCGAAAGAATTCTTCAGAAAATCACAATAAGGCCTAAGGGGAAAGAGCAAAAATACGAATATACCTATGGATACGATGCATCAAAATCGATCAAGATGAGCTTTCTGTCCTCGGTTCCGGTTTGCGATCCAACTGAACAGACGAGCAATGTTTCGGTGGCTTCAAGATGCCAAATGGGACTGCCAAATCCATCCGATTCAAGACGAACGAGGTCACGGACGAAAATACCTGAAATTGGAGAAAAATTAACAACAGAATACTAAACCCCAACATGAATTCAGGCTTGAATAGTTAACGAGTCAAGCCAGGTAGTTAATAAATTCTACTTCAAAGAAAACTTGAAGTCTGGATAAATTTGCTTATCCTATAGGCCACTTTACCAGGTAATGTAGAACAACTTACCTTTATCCACATCCCACAGCTTGACCGAGCCATCGAAAGAACTTGTTACCAAAAGTCTCGAGTCGAGCAATTGGAATGCAATGATGGTCGACGTGTGACCATTTACGCCTTGCAGGCGATGAATGCACGAACCACCGTCACGAATGTCCCAAACCTTCAGAAAAAGAAGTAGTTGTCATAGGCTTGATTAGAGGTACCCCGACCTCCGAGTTGTCATAGCAGGCGACCAAAACGTTTCCGCGAAGCTGCACGCCAATGTAGCCCCTTCGAAGACAGAGAAGAATTGCGATGCATGCTAAAAGAAACAAATATAAATGATATTGAAACAAAATAGAGAACAAATAAAACCCACTTCCTCTTCGTACATCCCAGACGCGAATCGTTTGGTCCCAACTTCCCGAGACGACAAGATCGCGCTTTGGCTCAAACTAAAACATAATCCTGCTTAAAGCCAAAAATTGACAATTCAACCCACCAAAAGTGAATAGACTGAATCGGTGTGACCCGTCAGCGTGTGCAAACACTCCCCCGTCTCCACATTCCAAACCTTAGAGAATCTATAAAATTAAACCAGGCATTGCATACCTTTACAGTAAAATCAAAGGCACACGACACAGCCCGAATTCCATCAAATTGCACACAGTTAACCTGAAATTTAACTTTGCTTAGGCTCCAACTTTCATACAAATACCATCCTCAAGTGGCCAGTCAAAATGTGAAGGCATTTCCCGTCGACAATGTCCCAGACTCGGAGCGTTCCATCGCGTGATCCAGAAACAAGACTAAAACATTATGATCTTAGCTAAAACACAAAATTGAGATAACTCACGTTGTACCATGTAGACTCATGCAGTACACTTCACTCGTATGCCCCTGCAGAACATGACGCTGTGCACCGGTTTGACCACACCAAACGCGCACCGTTCGATCAGTCGAGCCACTTAAATATTGCAATAGACTTTGTTGTCACATGTATTTTTGCCTAGAAAATTGTTGGCTTCTTAGCTTTTGACAACACTTATCAATTGCACTAGCTAGCCTATTAACTAACCTGACAACGTATTTGCCATCATCGCTCACTTGAGATGTCGAAACAGCACCCATATGGCCAGTTAGAGTGAGGGCCGGCTAAATTAAGACGTACAATAATCGCAAAGCGAAACAAACTTGAGCATCATCAACATTCCAAACCGGCAACGTATAACCATCTGAACGAGTAACGATACGACCTGAGTGAATTTGTGGATAACGGATCGCATATTCATCGTGACTCTCAAAAACAATTTTTATGGCCAAAACATTTGTCCAAACCTTTAGTACCGTGCTTGATTGAATCGGTCGGGATCGCCAATTCGAAATGATTCGCTTCTTCCGCAAGTACAGTGACTTCCATGAGGATCGCTCAAAACACCTAGAAAAAATTTAATTCAGCAACAAGTCGGCACCAACTGGCCATATGCGATCTCGCGTTCTCGTCGATTCTGATGTGCTTCTTGAAGGTCCATATGTGAGAAGATTGTGATTCCCGCTTGTTCATTCGCTCGATTCGTCGCCCAGCCTCCGAGAAAACGACAACTGAACAAAAAGAAGTTAGTGAGAAGCTTGTTACGAATCCTTTACTAATCGTATTCTTAAATGTGAACCAGTTCATCGGAACAAACATTATCATTTGTTTTCTTTCGCATTAAAGCTTTCTTTGCTGCAGAATAATCACATTATTGAATCAGTAACAGTATCATCCTATACCTTAGAAGTGTAAGATCCAGTTTAATATAAATATATCAGATATGGATTTTTAACTATATCTTATTTCCTCAAAACTGTAACACACCTTGGGGCATCAAATTTGACATATCCTTTCTCCAAACATTTCTGTCGCCAGGTCCGATCATCTTCACAAATTCGCTGCCACGTCCGCGAAACGCCAGAACAAACCGTCAAATCCCACGGTGTCAGATAGGCGATTATGTGAAACGCAATCTAAAAATAAACAATTAATCTCACAAGCTTTAACAAAAGACAAACCTCCTCTGGCAACTGTGACAAGAAATCCTTTTGGAGCAATGGTTCGATAATATCCCTGAATTTGAAAATTTTGACTGTTTAAGGTCATTCTCTTTACCCTTCGAGTTGAGTCTTGCTGCTCTCCGGCTTGTCCGACATCTCCCCTAAATGAAAAATTACAGCAGAGATAACACCGCAAATAAGAAAACCACCAACCCCTGAGGAAAATACGACTATTACTAGCTACCGTAAATATTGTAATTGCACCGCAGCCATTACAATGAATGAAAGCTTTCCAGCAATGAAATAAGTTGATAGCTGTTCTAGAAACAGAGATCTGAACGTTCAAACATTAGGATGCTGTTTGTATCCATAAAATCGATAAGTAAGTCTACTCTTAGGGCACTAGAGCGATGGGGCACTATTACAGCATTTACGGTACCTACACATGCTAAACGACAGAATGAATTTCATCGCAAAAGTCTCCTTAAATACACGAAAGGGGCGCGTTTTAGAACTCGCCATCAAAAGGCCTACGGTAGAATGTGCACAAAATCATATTTTGTGGTTCCAATTTTCAGAAAGCTCCATTCCATTCACCCACAAAATAACCTTTAGTGCACCATCTTGTAGATAAGGTTAGGCTTATCAGCAGGATTGAAAAGACGCTGGGGTGTTGAAGCTGCGGGCGGCGAAAATTTACGGGTATTTAACCTGAACGCGCGAAGAAATTTTCAGTTTGAGTTTTTTCATTTTTCAATAAAATTTGATCAGTTAGAGATCAAGTTAGAGTTAGAGGTTTGACCGTTTAGAGGTTTAACAAAGAAACAACAGCAATGGAGTATGCTCGGGATCACCATCTTCAGCACGCTAATCCAGATCCCAGCCGCTCTTTTCTTTGTGAGTTGCGATTCTCTTTTGCATTTGACATCTCCAATTTTCAGAGCACTCTTTCCTATACGGCATTCACGGGTAATCAACTCGAGCTGGCATCACTTATTGGCCAATTTGTGAGTCTTTCATTCCAAACAATTTTCTTCAAACGAGAACTCACAATTAGAACGTGGATAGCTCTGTACATTTGCAATTAAATTTCAGTTTTCCCCAGAGCCTAACAGACATCGATTTTTTTGAGCATTTTATTCTAAACAACTATTGATACACTTTGTAACAAAAATTATAGGCGATGATGTCATTTTTTACGAGTGAAGTGTGCTGCATGAGTCTACATGGTACAACGTGAGTTATCTCAATTTTGTGTTTTAGCTAAGATCATAATGTTTTAGTCTTGTTTCTGGATCACGCGATGGAACGCTCCGAGTCTGGGACATTGTCGACGGGAAATGCCTTCACATTTTGACTGGCCACTTGAGGATGGTATTTGTATCAAAGTTATATCCTAAGCAAAGTTAAATTTCAGGTTAACTGTGTGCAATTTGATGGAATTCGGGCTGTGTCGTGTGCCTTTGATTTTACTGTAAAGGTTTGCAATGCCTTGTTTAATTTTATATGTTCTCTAAGGTTTGGAATGTGGAGACGGGGGAGTGTTTGCACACACTGACGGGTCACACGCGTAGAGTTCTTTCACTTTTGGTGAGTTGGATTATGAATTTTTTTGGCTTTGATCGGGTTTCTGTTTTAGTTTGAGCCGGAGCGCGATCTTGTCATCTCGGGAAGTCGGGATACAACGATGCGCGTCTGGGATGTGCGAAGAGGAAGTGTGTTTTACTTCCCTATTTGGTTGCAATCTCCTCTATATTTGTTTCTTTCAGCATGCATCGCAATTCTTCTCAGTCATGAAAGGCCCTGGGACTCCGGCATGCAACTTCGCGGAAACAGTTTGGTCGCCTGCTATGCCAACTCGGACGTTGGGGTGCGTTTAATCAAGCCTATGACAACTTCTTCCTTCTCTTTAGGTTTGGGACATTCGTGACGGTAGTTCATGCATTCACCACTTACATGGCGTAAATGGTCACACTTCGGCCATCACTTCACTTCATTCATTACAATCATTGCAATTATCAATACTTATCGATACACAAATATCGATAAGTATCGATAAGCTTTATGAGGTGCTTGCACATTAAAAGTCGTTACGTATAAAATCGCAATCAAAAGCTGGCATTCTTGACTTTCTCATGAACCAATTCTCAGATTGCTACTTATCGATACTCCTGGAACCTGAACGGTCAAAGATAAGCATCGCGTTTGTATCGATTAAATCGATAAGTACTAGGTTGGTGCAAATGAAATTTCGTTTTTTTACAAACATTAAAGTCATCCAAAATTTTTTTAGATAACAATTTATTTAAAACAATAAGCACCATTATTATCTATGACATCCCTCCAACGTTGCTTCAGATTGCGGATCCCCTCCTCAAAGAACGCTTGATTCTGTGATGCAAAGTAGTTGGTCACCCAATTTTCGACTTCTTTTGCATTCTTAAACTGGCAATTCTCAAGGGAATGTTGCATCGATCTGAAAAGGTGAAAATCGGAGGGTGCTAAGTCTGGACTATACGGCGCATGTGGTAAGACCTTCCATCCTAGCTTCTCTAGTTCCTTACAAGAGCTTTTTGCCGTGTGAGCTGGAGCATTATCACGGAGAAAGTTGATAGTTGAGGGATTTAGGCCTTTTTCACGCAAAATTTCGTCAACCTTCTTGAGTTGTTGAATAAAATAAGATGAATCGACTGTTTTTCCGGGCTCTAATAATTCAAAATGAACAAGTCCATTGATATTCCACCAGCAAGACAACATCACTTTGCGCCCATGATAATCCGGCTTTGGAGTTGGAATTGGCGCTTGACCTTTGCTCAGCCATTGTCTTTTTCGAGAAGTATTATCAAAGTGAATCCACTTCTCATCCATCGTCAAGATATTCTCAAAAAAATGGCTTCTTTTCGACTTCTGGAGCAAGATATGGCTGATCGGAACGCCTGCTCCCAGATTCTCAACACTCAATTGATGTGGAACCCATTGTCCATTACGATTTGTCTTTCCAATTATTTCCAAATGGCGTACAATTGTTGAATTGGAGATGTTTGGCAAGTTCTCGTGTTGTTTGCATTGGATCAGCTTCAATTCATTGTTGTCGATGGCTGTGGCACGATGTCCATGCGATTCGTCTTCAAGGGATTCATTACCATCTCGGAATTGGGCAAACCAGAGCTGGCATGATCTTTCGGTGATAACCTGTTCTCCAAAGGCGGAACAGAGATCACGATGTGAATCAGCAGCGTTTTTGCCCATTTTGAAGTCATAGAGAAGACACGTGCGCAGAACATACTTTTGATCCACCATGATCTAAAGCAAAAATCAATTAAAAAGTGAAAGCTCTGACTTTGAAAAAATGCGAAAATAAAGTAAATATCCAAGAGTACAAATGCACAAAAGAACATCAAATAAGCTCTTCAGATTAAAAAAATAAGAACATTTTATATCGACCGAAATTTCTTTTGCACCAACCTAATAAGTCTACTCTTAGGGCACTAGAGGGATGGGGCACTATTACAGTATTCACGGTACATACACATGCTAAACGACTCGACCAGAATGAAATTTATCGCAAAAAGTCTCTTTCAACACACGAAAGGGGCGCGTTTTAGAACTCGCCATCAAAAGGTCTACGGTAGAGTGTACACAAAACCATATTTTGTGGTTCCAATTTTCCGAAAGCTCCATTCCATCGTCCTTTCTTAGCGCCTCACCCACACCCTTTTCTGCAGCTGACGAATGAAAAATTCTTCGCGCGTTCAGGTTAAAGACCCGTAAATCTTCGCAGCTTCAACACCCCAGCGTCTTTTCAATCCTGCTGATAAACCCAACCTTCCTACGAGATGGTCCACTAAAGGTTATTTTGTGGGTGAATGGAATGGAGCTTTCTGAAAATTGGAACCACAAAATTTGGTTTTGTGTACATTCTACCGTAGGCCTTTTGATGGCGAGTTCGAAAACGCGCCCCTTTCGTGTATTTAAGGAGATATATTTAATAAATTTCATTCTGGTCAAGTCGTTTAGCATGTGTAGGTACCGTAAATGCTGTAATAGTGCCCCATCGCTCTAGTGCCCTAAGGGTAGACGTGCTTATCGATTTTATGGATACAAACGGCATGCTAATGTTTGAACGTTCAGATCTCTGTTTCTAGAACAGCTATCAACTTATTTCATTGCTGGAAAGCTTTCATTCATTGTAATGGCGGCGGTACCATTACAAGATTTACGGTAGCTAGTAATAGTAGTATTTTGCTCAGGGGTTTTTCGTTTTGTTATTTACGGTGTTACCTCTGCTGTAATTTTTCATTTAGGAGAGATGTCGGACAAGCCGGAGAGCAGCAAGACTCGACTCGAAGAGTAAAGAGAATGACCTTAAACCGTGAAATTTTCAAATTCAGGGAGATCATCGATCCATTGTTCCAAAAGGATTTCTTGTCACAGTTGCCAGTGGAGGTTTGTCTTTTGTTAAAGTTTATGGGATTAGTTGTTTATTTTTAGGTTGCTTATCGCATCATCGCTCATCTGACACCGCGCGATTTGATGACTTGTGCTGGCGTTTCGCGGACGTGGCAACGGATTTGTGAAGATGATCGGACGTGGCGACCGAAATGTTTGGAGAAAGGATATGTGAAATTTGATGCCCCAAGGTGTGTTAGAGTTTTGAGCAAATAATAGAACATTTAAAAATACATATCTGATATATTTATATTAAACTGGATCTTACACTTCTAAGGTATAGGATGATACTGTTACTGATTCAATAATGTGATTATTCTGCAGCAAAGAAAGCTTTAAAGCTAAAGAAAACAAATGATAATGTTTGTTCCAATGAACTGGTTCAGATTTAAGAATACGATTAGTAAAGGATTTGTCACAAGCTTCTCACTAACTTCTTTTTGTTCAGTTTTCGTTTTCTCGGAGGCTGGGCGACGAATCGAGCAAATGAGGAAGGGGGAATCACAATCTTCTCACAAATGGACTTTCAAGAAGCACATCAGAATCGACGAGAACGCGAGATCGCATATGGCCAGTTAGTGCCGACTTGTTGCTGAATTAAATTTTTTCTAGGTGTTTTGAGCGATCCTCATGGAAGTCACTGTACTTGCGGAAGCAGCGAATCATTTCCAATTGGCGATCCCGACCGATTCAATCGAGCACTGTACTAAATACACTAAAGGTTTGGGCAAATGTTTTGGCCATAAAAGTTGTTTTTGAGCGTCACGATGAAGATGCGCTCTGTCTACAAGTTCAGTCTGGTCGTATCGTTATTGGTTACTATCATGATTATACGTTGCGGATTTGGAATGTTGATGAGGCTCAAGTTTGTTTCGTTTTATCATTATTGTACGTCTTAATTTAGCCGGCTCTCACTCTAACTGGCCATATGGATAGAGTTACGACGTCTGAAGTGAGCGATGATGGTAAATATATTGTCAGGTTAGTTAATAGGCTCTAGCTAGTGCATTTGATAAGTGTTTCCAAAGAAGCTAACAATTTTCTAAATAAAAATACTTGTGACAACAAAGTCTATTGCAATATTTAAGTGGCTCGTCGGATCGAACGGTACGCGTTTGGTGTGGTCAAACCGGTGCACAGCGTCATGTTCTGCAGGGGCATACGAGTCAAGTGTGGTGCATGAGTCTACATGGTACAACGTGAGTAATCTAAATTTTGTTCTTTAGCTAAAAGCATAATGTTTTAGTCTTGTTTCTGGATCGTGCGATGGAACACTCCGAGTCTGGGACATTGTCGACGGGAAATGCCTTCACATTTTGACTGGCCACTTGAGGATGGTATTTGTATGAAAGTTAGAGCCTAAGCAAAGTTAAATTTCAGGTTTGTTGTGTGCAATTTGATGGAAAACGGGTTGTGTCTGGTGCTTATGATTGTACTGTAAAGGTTTGCAATGCCTGGTTTAATTTTATAGATTCTCTAAGGTTTGGAATGTGCAAACGGGGGAGTGTTTGCACACGCTGAGGGGTCACACCGATTCAGTCTATTCACTTTTGGTGGGTTGAATTGTCAATTTTTGGCTCTAATCAGGATTCTATTTTAGTTTGAGCCAGAGCGCGATCTTGTCGTCTCGAGAAGCGATGACAAAACGATTCGCGTCTGGGATATACGAGGAGGAAGTGGGTTTTATTTGTTCGCTATTCTGTTGCAATATCATTTATATTTGTTTCTTTTAGCATGCATCGCAATTCCTGTCAGTCAAGAATCAGTCTATCGCTATAGCCGCTATGGCATGCAACTTCGCGGAAACAGTTTGGTCGCCTGCTATACCGGCTCGGACGTTGGGGTACGTTTAATCAATCTTATGACAACTACTTCGTTTTCTTTAGGTTTGGGACATTCGTGACGGTGGTTCGCGCAGTCACGTCCATTTACAAGGCGTAAATGGTCACGCGTTGAACATCACTTCATTGCAACTGCTCGACTCGGGACTTTTGGTGACAACTTCTTACGATGGCTCGGTCAAGCTGTGGGATGTGGATAAAGGTATGTTATTCGAAATTACCTAGTAATGTAGGCTATAAGATAAGCAAATTTGTCCAGACTTCAAATTTTCTTCTAAAGTTGAATTTATTAACTACATAATTTGACTCGTTAATTAGTCAAGTTTAAATCGATGTTCAGGGTTAGTATACTGTTGTTAATTTTTTTATCAACTATACGAGAATTTTTGTGATTTTCAGGTATCTTTGTTCGTGACCTCGTTAGTCTTCAGGCAGACAGTTGGATTTGGAATCTCTTCGCGACCGAAACATCTCTTTTATGTGAAATTAGATCGGAAGACAGAATCGATGAAAACACAAAGCTCATCTTGATCAATTTTGACGCATCGTATCCATAGTTATATTCGGATTGTGGCTCTTTTGCCTTATCGTGATTTTCTGAAGAATTTTTTTCGGTTTTCAATTCTTCTGGGTTTACATGGCTCTCTCGGTTAGCGTTTGTGATTCCCTTTAAAATATTTCCCTCATTTTACACAGTTTCTTGTATGCCAAAGTCTTCATATTGTTAACCTTTTTTTTCCTTTAACCTGCTTTTATTTGCTGACAATTATTCTCGTAACAAGGGTCATTTCCTTTTTTGCCGAGAGTTTTCTTGTGTGATTGTTTTCAGAGGTGTTTGTGTTGCTTTAAATTGTGTCTTTTTTTGCGGTAACTATATGGCAAGATAAATGGATTAAACTCGCTCAGAAATAGAAGGAAACAGGGTAAGCTTTTAAACTTTTTTTTACAAAGAGTAAAAAGCCGAATGGGTGACACAAAAACGATTTTTTTTGAGGCTTTTATAGGTAGGTAAATGCGTTTTCTTATTGAAAACAGTGAGAACTAAAATTGTGAAGTAGAAAACTGAAAAAAAGGTTGCTTAGAAGTTGGAAACAAGTCTTTTACAGTGATTTTCAAAAAAAAGCGCCGTATTCGTGTATTTAAAGAGACTTTGCGATAAATTTCATTCTGATCGATTCTTTTAGTAGGCTTATATAGCGTAAATACCCTAAAAGTACCCATTCCTCTAGTGCCCTACGGGTAGACTCTTGAAATTTTGAGTCGAATAAGGAAATATGTTTCTCACAAATGTAAAATGACACAACAAATTCAGGAGGATCGAGTTGTGATCATGTCATTGAGTATATTGGGTGCTGTTGAGTAAAAACACCAAGAAAAGTTGTATGGATAGCCCCATTGGGTCAACTTTATTTTGTATAATAGTGCCCCATCGCTCTAGTGCCCTAAGTGTAGACTTGCTTATCGATTTTATGGATACAAACGGCATGCTAATGTTTGAACGTTCAGATCTCTGTTTCTAGAACAGCTCTCAATTTGAGAATTGTTTCATTTTTTTTATTAGGGTGAACCAAAACCAAGTGAACCAAGTTTTCTATTTTTTTTCTCTTTAAGTTTGAACAATTTTTTAAAGCTAATAAATTTGTTTTATCTATGCGTGCCATATTTATTTTGTAGCATTTGATCTGCTCTTTCATATTTTACTATGTTATCCTGTGTTTCACGATTTATTTTTAATTTTTTACTTTGGAGGAAAGAGATGGAAAAATTCGAAATTCTGGTACTTTTGCGCCATAATTGGAAACAAGGGTTCAATGCAACTGAAGCGGCCAAAAAAATATGCCAAGTGGAAGGTGGTGTATCAACACTTTTGATGTATCAACGCCCAATTTCTTTAAAACCTCGTTAACTCTCATCAACTGTTTTGAATAAAACTCAACGGTGACAGTTTCTCCCAGCTTCAACAACTCATAATACACCAAACCTTTTGTATTCCACCAACAACAAAGCATAAGTTTCTTTCCATGAATATCGGGTTTTCAAGTTGGTTGTGGGGGTTCACCTAGAGAAAGCCACTGATTTTTCCGCTTCACATTCTCATATGAATCCATTTCAGGACTCAGACTCGGAGACAGCGGCAAAAGCCTTTTCACTACTAAAAGCCTTTTCGGTATTGAAAGTTGTTTCAGGCCTGAAAGGCTTTTCATTACTGAAAGCCTTTTCAGGCCTGAAAGCCTTTTCAGTATTGAAAGTCTTTTCAGTACTGTAACCCTTTTCAGGCCTGAAAGCCTTTTCAGTACTGAAAGCCTTTTCAGGCCTGAAAGCCTTTTCACTACTAAAAGCCTTTTCGGTATTGAAAGTCTGGAAGATGAACCACGTGGTGGTCGCCCTGAAACCTGTTCTGATGACCAAATAAGACGCTGTCTTCTCGAAAACCCTCGTTCAACCTCTTCAGAAATCGGCCTTACATTAAATTGTGATGGGTCAACCGTAAGGAAACGCTTGAATGCCATGAATTTTATTTAATGAAACTTATGGTCTATTATATTTAAACGTTAAAAACGTGGATTACTTTTTCACACACCTAATACAACTGCAATCCTGATAAGAAGGAGTTTTTCATATCGATTTTTGCTTCAAGTACTTCAAGTCTTCAAATACATACTTTATATTATTTAATATTACTCCAATTTTATAGATAAGTTATTTTAAATTTTCAATTACAGATGAGTTTGTATAAAAAAGATTTTCCTAAAAACGACGATGAAATGAAAGGACGAATTGAATTATTCTTTGATGAAATTGAAAAACATCTCCAGAATACACTAGAACCGAAGAAGGAATTGTCGGATGAAGAAGAAGAAGAAGAAGAAGAATATTTTTCGAAATTTGAAAATTCTTCAGAAATAGTTATTTATTGATGTGTAATGTAGACTTCGGAAAACAAGAGGCAATTTTGGCGTTTATATGGAAAAATAGTGATTTTTTCGATTTTTTTCGATTTAAAAAAAATCTGTCAGACGGATTCGAAAAATTCTTTCAAATTTGAATTCAGGACATTTTTTCGCATCAAATAGCACTTACCGTGAGCAAGTTTAACGGCGATCGCATTTTTCGTCTTATTTCGCGCGGACGTGCAGGCCCTTTCATGACTGAGAAGAATTGCGATGCATGCTGAAAGAAACAAATATAGAGGAGATTGCAACAAACTAGCGAACAACGAAAACCCACTTGCACTTCGCTGTTTTGGTGTCATTTTAATGTAAGGGGGTCTTTAAATCTTCAAATTCTTTGGCCAAAAAAAGAACGGGCAAATGGGAGGAAACTGAACGATTCTGCTCGAAAAAAAAGGCAAAAAGGACAGAAAAACAAGACAAAAAAAGGCAAACGTTGCTACGTCTGCTTTACAAGAATAAACCTACAACTTTTTAATGGTAAAAGCTGTAGATTGGTTGGTGCATTAGTTATTTCTAAAGAGTGCAATGAATAAATGTACCAAAATTTCAAGTCGCCAATCTAATACAATATTAGAGAATTTTCAAAAGATAAGCCTAGTAGTTTCACAGTCTTTTAGGCACTTCACCAAGATATTAAATTACTCAGCGATGCATTGGATGATCAAAAGCTGACATTCTTGACTTCCCAATGAAACCATTCTCAGATTGAGAGCTGTTCTAGAAACAGAGATCTAACGTACAAAGATTAGCATGTCGTTTGTATCGATAAAATCGATAAGCTAGTCTACCCGTAGGACACTAGAGGGTAAAAAAGTTTAAAAATCTAGCGTGTTTCCTTTTATTTGTGATCAATTTAAGCCATCTATCTTGCCAGTCTACCCGTAGGGCACTAGAGGGATAGGGTAGTATTAGGGTATTTACGGTATATAAGCCTACTCAAAGAATTGAATTTATCGCAAAGTCTCGTTAAATACACGAATGCGGAGTATTTTTTTGAAAATCACTGTGAAAAATCGCTTTTTTCCAACTTCTAAGCAACCTTTTTTTCAGTTTTCTACTTCACAATTTTATTTCTCACTGTTTTCAACAAGGAAATACATTTACCTACCTATAAAAGCCTCAAAAACAATCGTTTTTGCTGCGTCACCAATTCGCCTTTTTCACTCTTTGTAAAAAAAGTTTAAAAGTTTAGCCTGTTTGCTTTTATTTGTGTGCAAGTTTAAGCCATTTACCTTGCCAAATAGTTACCGAAAAAAAAAGACACAATTTCAAGCAACACAAACAGCTCTGGAAATAATCACACAAGAAAACTCTCGACAAAAAAGGAAATGACCATTGTTACGAGAATAATTGTCAGCAAATAAAAACAGGTTAACAATATGAAGACTTTGGCATACAAGAAAGTGTGTAAAATGTGGGAAACATTTGAAACGAAATCACAAGCGCTAACCGAGAGAGCAATGAAATCTCAGTAGAATTGAAAAATCGAAAGAATGCTTCAGAAAATCACAATAAGGGCTAAGGCTAAGCGGAAAGAGCAAAAATACGAATATACCTATGGATACGATGCATCAAAATCGATCAAGATGAGCTTTCTGTCCTCGGTTGCGCTTCGCGATCCACCTGTACAGACGAGCAATGTTTCGGTGGCTTCAAGATGCCAAATGGGACTGCCAAATCCACCCGATTCAAGACGAACGAGGTCACGGACGAAAATACCTGAAATTGAGGAAAAATTAACAACAACCACCGTCACGAACCTCAACATAAATTCAGGCTTGAATAGTTAACTAGTCAAATTAGGTAGTTAATAAATTCTACTTTAGAAAAAACTTGCAGTCTGGACAATATTTGCTCATCTTTTAACCTACATTACCAGGTAATTTAGAACAACATACCTTTATCCACATCCCACAGCTTGACCGAGCCATCACGAGAACTTGTCACCAAAAGTCCCGAGTCGAGCCATTGCAATGAAGTGATTTGAAACGTGTGACCATTTACGTCTTGAAGGCGATGAATGCGCGAACCACCGTCACGAATGTCCCAAACCTAAAGAAAAGGAAGTAGTTGTCATAGGCTTGATTAAACGTATCCCAACGTCTGAATTGGCATAGCAGGCGACCAAAGTGTCTCCGCGAAGTTGCATAACAGAGTCCCAGGTACTTTCATGACTGAGAAGAATTGCGATGCATACTGAAAGAAACAAATATAGAGGAGATTGCAACCAAATAGGGAAGTAAAACACACTTCCTCTTCGCACATCCCAGACGCGCATCGTTGTATCCCGACTTCCCGAGATGACAAGATCGCGCTCCGGCTCAAACTAAAACAGAAACCCGATCAAAGCCAAAAAAATTCATAATCCAACTCACCAAAAGTGAAAGAACTCTACGCGTGTGACCCGTCAGTGTGTGCAAACACTCCCCCGTCTCCACATTCCAAACCTTAGAGAACATATAAAATTAAACAAGGCATTGCAAACCTTTACAGTAAAATCAAAGGCACACGACACAGCCCGAATTCCATCAAATTGCACACAGTTAACCTGAAATTTAACTTTGCTTAGGATATAACTTTGATACAAATACCATCCTCAAGTGGTCAGTCAAAATGTGAAGGCATTTCCCGTCGACAATGTCCCAGACTCGGAGCGTTCCATCGCGTGATCCAGAAACAAGACTAAAACATTATGATCTTAGCTAAAACACAAAATTGAGATAACTCACGTTGTACCATGTAGACTCATGCAGCACACTTCACTCGTATGCCCCTGCAGAACATGACGCTGTGCACCGGTTTGACCACACCAAACGCGCACCGTTCGATCAGTCGAGCCACTAAAATATTGCAATAGACTTTGTCCTCATAAGTATTTTCGTCTAGAAAATTGTTGGCTTCTTAGCTTTTGACAACACTTATCAATTGCACTAGCTAGTCTATTAACTAACCTGACAACGTATTTGCCATCATCGCTCACTTGAGATGTCGAAACATGATGCATATGGCCAGTTAGAGTAAAAGCAGGCTAAATTAAGACGTACAATAATCGCAAAGCGAAACAAACTTGAGCATCATCAACATTCCAAACCGGCAACGTATAACCATCTGAACGAGTAACGATACGACCTGAGTGAATTTGTGGATAACGGATCGCATATTCATCGTGACTCTCAAAAACAATTTTTATGGCCAAAACATTTGTCCAAACCTTTAGTACCGTGCTTGATTGAATCGGTCGGGATCGCCAATTCGAAATGATTCGCTGCTTCCGCAAGTACAGTGACTTCCATGAGGATCGCTCATAACACCTAGAAAAAATTTAATTCAGCAACGAGTCGGCACCAACTGGCCATATGCGATCTCGCGTTCTCGTCGATTCTGATGTGCTTCTTGAAGGTCCATATGTGAGAAGATTGTGATTCCCGCTTGTTCATTCGCTCGATTCGTCGCCCAGCCTCCGAGAAAACGACAACTGAATAAAAATAAGTTAGTGAGAAGCTTGTTACGAATCCTTTACTAATCGTATTCTTAAATGTGATCAGTAACAGTATCATCCTATACCTTAGAAGTGTAAGACCCAGTTTAATATAAATATATCAGATATGGATTTTTAAATGTTCTATTATTTTCTCAAAACTGTAACACACCTTGGCGCATCAAATTTCACATATCCTTTCTCCAAACATTTCTGTCGCCACGTCCGATCATCTTCACAAATTCGCTGCCACGTCCGCGAAACGCCAGCACAAACCGTCAAATCGCACGGTGTCAGATAGGCGATTATGTGAAACGCAATCTAAAAATAAACAATTAATCTCACAAGCTTTAACAAAAGACAAACCTCCTCTGGCAACTGTGACAAGAAATCCTTTTGGAACAATGGTTCGATAATATCCCTGAATTTGAAAATTTTGACTGTTTCAGGTCATTCTCTTTACCCTTCGAGTTGAGTCTTGCTGCTCTCCGGCTTGTCCGCCATCTCCCCTAAATGAAAAATTACAGCAGAGGTAACACCGCAAATAAGAAAACCACCAACCCCTGAGGAAAATACGACTATTACTAGCTACCGTAAATCTTGTAATGGTACCGCCGCCATTACAATGAATGAAAGCTTTCCAGCAATGAAATAAGTTGATAGCTGTTCTAGAAACAGAGATCTGAACGTTCAAACATTAGCATGCCGTTTGTATCCATAAAATCGATAAGCACGTCTACCCTTAGGGCACTAGAGCGATGGGGCACTATTACAGCATTTACGGTACCTACACATGCTAAACGACTTGACCAGAATGAAATTTATTAAATATATCTCCTTAAATACACGAAAGGGGCGCGTTTTCGAACTCGCCATCAAAAGGCCTACGGTAGAATGTACACAAAACCAAATTTTGTGGTTCCAATTTTCAGAAAGCTCCATTCCATTCACCCACAAAATAACCTTTAGTGCACCATCTCGTAGGTAAGGTTAGGTTTATCAGCAGGATTGAAAAGACGCTGGGGTGTTGAAGCTGCGGGCGGCGAAGATTTACGGGTATTTAACCTGAACGCGCGAAGAATTTTTCATTCGTCACATTTGGCCGCAAAGTTTTGAGCACTAAATTTATTTGAATTAACTATGATTGTAAATTAAGCACAAAAGCACCTTAAAATAGCTCTGGGTACTGTAATTCAAGTCAGGTCTGAACCGGCCAGAAAGGCCCAGGCTCAGATCTACTCAAGGATTTAGTGTGTCCGACAGAGAAGCCAGGACCTGGCTCTCGACTTGGCCTTGAAACGACCTTGATCCTGTAATGAAATCAGTTTAAGCTACTCAAATCAAAAAAATTGCTTATTGATTGAGAAAAGGTTTAACTCCGGATAATTCGTTTTTGTTTTCAACGTTTTCACCTGCAAATTTTGATATTCTAAACATTAAAAGAGCACAAAATACACGAAAAAAATGGCACAAAGTTCTGTATCTTGTTTGGAAAAACGATCCCTCGGGAGCCGACTTTTTAAAGTCATCCGAAAACCTGAGCAATTAGAAGTAATTGAGAGTTTGAAAAAAATTTCCAATGAAGAGTTGTCTTTTCTGAAAGCTTTTGCAATGAAGAATGGTTTTATGGCAAGATTTCTATAGTTATTTTTCGTTTCTTCTTTACATATGCGTCGTGGTGACCATTTGGAGAAGCAAGAATCGACAATTCGATTCGTCGTTTTTTCGAATTTTTCTCGTTATTGGTTTGTGTTTTTTTAGCTTTTGCTTTTGCTTTGGATTTGGTAATAGATTGAAGTTTTTCTTTTTAATCCTATCTAACGATGTCGGCAGTTAGTTAAACCGCAGTTGACTGAACGAGGGAAGGGAATTGTTATTGTGGAAGTTAAAAATGAAATAGTTTCTAAAAAAAGCCCTAAACTCCAAGCTATTTTTCCAGGCGTCATCGACTTGGCATCGTTTCCATTTTTCCAAATGAATCCCCTCCTTCAATCATCGCCACCCGGAAGGACAATCTTGCAGATCTTTTTGCAGGTCTCAAAAAACCAATAAAAAGATCACACGAAGCTTTTCAGCTTTTCCGAACCGGCCACTGCATGTTATCCGTGGTGATGTCATTAAATCGTCTAACAAGTGTTCTCTATCCGTTAAATCATCAAAAGGTATTGTTCATTCAAAAATTCCGATATTAAAAGACTGATTGCAGATTTGGGAAGAAAAGAGTGGTCGTAATTTGAAAAGAGCGATCGGATTCGCGTTGTTTTTCGACTTCCTCTCGCAATGTCACTCGATTACATTCATTTTTCTATGGGGTTGGAAAGACTCGTGGCTCGGCTATCCTCAGATTCCCAGTTTTGATGCGGTGAGTGCAAATTCTTGTTTCTATCCAATTCTCTATCAACCAAGAGCCATTTTTCAGTGGCACCGGCTCTATTACGCCGTTCTGGTGACTACGGTGGCCGCACTCTGTCTGAGCATGAATCTGATAACTGTGTGGAAAATGAGGTTACATTTCTGTTTCTTAATGAGCTATTGCGAAGAGGCAGGGTCTAAGTTTTAAATATGTTTATTTTTATAGTCAATTGATGGATTATGAACCAATTAAGAACATAGAGAAAATTTGTGTCAAAGCAAATTGCTTTGCTTTGCTCAACCAAAATTTTCAGGTAACTTCAAGTCAAACCAAGCCACAAAAACTATATAAGATTTTTGTGAAGGATCGAATAAATGGCAGTTCTAAAGGAACTCAGCGAATAGCTTTTTCAAAAAAGTCCCTGTTTAAAGTAACTGGAACTAGGATGAAAGGCGTAGAAACCTAAAGAAGCTAATAAAATTCGATCAGTTAGAGATCAAGTTAGAGTTAGAGGTTTGACCGTTTAGAGGTTTAACAAAGAAACAACAGCAATGGAGTATGCTCGGGATCACCATCTTCAGCACGCTAATCCAGATCCCTGCCGCTCTTTTCTTTGTGAGTTGCGATTCTCTTTTGCATTCGACATCTTCAATTTTCAGAGTACTCTTTCCTATACGGCATTCACGGGTAATCAACTCGAGCTGGCATCACTTATTGGCCAATTTGTGAGCCTTTCATTTGAAACAATTTCCTTCAAACGAGAACTCACAATTAGAACGTGGATAGCTCTGTACATTTGCAATTAAATTTCAGTTTTCCCCAGAGCCTAACAGACATCGATTTTTTTGAGCATTTTATTCTAAACAACTATTGATACACTTCGTAACAAAAATTATAGACGATGATGTCATTTTTTATCCAGAGTTTATTAGGGATGACTAAAATTCACTATCTCTTAGCTTATAATCAAGCCTCTCCAGCCAACAAACCCCTCCAGAAGAAGACGAGCTATTATTCGAGTGTAGTACTGAAAATAAATGCAAATTTCAGTCAAGTCTAGTCGCTCTGTGCGTCGGCAACTATCAACCCTATTGGGTGCTAGTGACCTCAAAGGCGTTGAGAAGAGAGATGCATTGGAACGCGCGAAGGTGCTTTGGTCTGGTTACAAACAGGAGCCAACAAATCCATCTTCAATCAGCCACTTGGACTAGTTAATTGCCCAATTTTAACATTTACCGTCTATGCATACAAATAAAGTTGACCCAATGGGTATGAATAGTACAACTTTTCTTGGTGTTTTTACTCAACAGTACTCAATATACTCAATGACATGATCACAACTCGATCCTCCTGAATTTGTTGTGTCATTTTACATTTCTGAGAAACATATTTTCTTACTCGACTCAAAATTTCAAGAGTCTACCCGTAGGGTACTAGTAGCGTGGGGTACTATTAGGGTATTTACGGTTTATAAGCCTACTAAAAGAATTGACCAGAATGAAATTTATCGCAAAGTCTCTTTAAATACACAAATACCGGGCGTTTTTTTGAAAATCAGCGTAAAAAAATAACTTTTTTCCAAATTGAAAAATCGAAAGAATGCTTCAGAAAATCACAATAAGGCTTAAGGGGAAAGAGCAAAAATACGAATGTACCTATGGATACGATGCATCAAAATCGATCAAGATGAGCTTTCTGTCCTCGGATCCGTTTCGCGATTCAACTGTACAGACGAGCAATGTTTCCGTGGCTTTAAGACGCAAATCCCAAATCCGATGGCCAGCCTGAAGACGAACGAGGTCACGAACAAAGATACCTGAAAATCACCAAAATTCTCGTCTAGTTGATAAAAAAAATTAACAACAGAATACTAAACCTCAACATAAATTTAAGCTTGAATAGTTAACGAGTCAAGCTATGTAGTTAATAAACTCTACTTCAAGGAAAATTTGAAGTCTGGACAAATTTGCTTATCTTATAGCCTACATTACTAGGTAATTTAGAACTACTTACCTTTCTCCACATCCCAAAGCTTGACCAAGCCATCGTGAGAAGCTGTTACCAAAAGTCCCGAGTCGAGCCATTGCAATGAAGTGATGGCCGACGTGTGACCATTTCCTCCTTGTAAGCGATGAATGCATGAACCACCATCACGAATGTCCCAAACCCAAAAAAGGAAGTAGTTGTTATAGGCTTGATTAGACGTACCCCGACGTCCGAGTCGGTATAGCAGGAGACCAAAATATTTCCGTGAAGTTGCATGCCAGAGTCCCAGGCCCTCCAATGACTGAGAAGAATTGCGATGCATGCTAAAAGAAACAAATATAAATGATATTCCAACAGATCAGCGAACAAATAAAACCCACTTGCTCTTTGCAAATCCCAGACGCGAATCGTTTTGTCATCACTTCCCGAGACGACAAGATCGCGCTCGGGCTCTAACTAAAACAGAATCTTGAATAAAGCCAAAAATCGACAATTTAACCCACCAAAAGTGCTTCGACTGAAACGGTGTGACCCGTCAGCGTCTGCAAACACTCCCCTGTCTGCACATTCCAAACCTTAGAGAATATATAAAATTAAACAAGGCATTACAAACCTTTACAGTACCATCCAAGGCACCAGACACAACCCGTTTTCCATCAAATTGCACACAACAAACCTGAAATTTAACTCTGCTTGGGCTATAACTTTGATACAAATACCATCCCCAAGTGGCCAGTCAAAATGTGAATGCATTTCCCGTCGACAATGTCCCAGACTCGGAGTGTTCCATCGTCTAATCCAGAAACAAGACTAAAACATGATTATTTTAACTAAAGCACACAATTTAGATAACTCACATTGTGCCATGCAGAATTATGCAGTTAATAACACTCGCATGCCCCTGCAGAACATGACGCTGTACACCGGTTTGACCACACCAAACCCGCTGCGTTTGATCAGTCGACAAACTTCATATAATTTAATAGACTTTGTTCTCATAAGTATTTTTCTCTAGAAATTTGTTAGCTTCTTTGACTGCACTTATTAGTTGCACTAGCTAGAGCCTATTAACCAACCTGACAATGTATTTGCCATCATCGCTCACTTGAGACGTCCAAACAACACCGATCGGGCCAATTAGAGTGGAGGTCAGCTGAATTAGGACGTAAAATAATGGTCAAACGAAACAAACTTGAGCATCATCAAGATTCCAAACGCGCAACGTATTATCATTTGAACCAGCAACGATACGACCTGAGTGAATTTGTGGATAACGGATCGCATATTCATCGTGACCCTCAAAAACAATTTTCATGGCCAAACCATTTGTCCAAACCTTTAGTACAGTGCTTGATTGAATCGGTCGGGATCGCCAATTCGAAATGATTCGCTTCTTCCGCAAGTACAACGACTTCCACGACGATCGCTCATAACACCTAGAAAAAATTTAATTCAGAAACAAGTTGTGCCACTAACTTTCCATATGCGATCTCGCGTTCTCGTCGATTCTGATGTGCTTCTTGAAGGCTCATATGTGAGCAGATTGTGATTCCAGCTTCCTCATTTGCTCGATTCCGTGCCCAGCCTCCGAGAAAACGAAAACTGAACCAAACGAAGTTAGTGACAAGCCTGTGACGAATCATTTACTAATGGCATTCTTGAATGTGATCCAGTTCATCGAAACAAACATTATCATTTGTTTTCTTTCGCTTCATATCTCTATTTGCTTTCGAATTCGTAACATTATTGTCCTATGCCTTAGAAGTGTAAGATCTAGTTTAATCTATCAGATTTGTATTTTTAAATGTTATATTATTTGCTCAAAATTGTAACACCTTAGCGCATCAAATTTCACATATCCTTTCTCCAAACATTTCTGTCGCCACGTCCGATCATCTTCACAAAGTCGCTGCCACGTCCGCGAAACGCCAGCACAAAGCGTCAAATCGCACGGTGTCAGATAGGCGATGATGCGAGATGCAACCTAAAAACAAACAATTAATCCCACAAGCTTTAACAAAAGAGAAACCTCCTGTGGCAACTGTGACAAGAAATCCTTCTGGAACAATGGTTCGATGATATCCCTGAATTTGAAAATTTCACGGTTTAAAGTCATTCTCTTTACTCTTCAAGTTGAGTCTTGCTGCTCTCCGGCTTGTCCGACATCTCCCCTAAATAAAAAATTACAGCAGAAATAACACCGTAAATAAGAAAACCAAAAGCTTCACAAACTACATACACATGCTAAACGACTTGATAAGAATGAATTTTATCGCAAAAAGCCGCTTTCAATACACAAAAGGGGCGCGTTTCAGAACTCGCCATCAAAAGGCCTACGGTAGAATAATGTACACAAAACCATATTTTGTGGTTCCACTTTTCAGAAAGCTCCATTCCATTCACCCACAAAATAACCTTTAGTGCACCATCTCGTAGGTAAGGTTAGGTTTATCAGCAGGATTGAAAAGACGCTGGGGTGTTGAAGCTGCGGGCGGCGAAGATTTACGGCGAACCTGAACGGGCGAAGAATTTTTCATACGGCAAATTTAGCCGCAAAGCTCTTTTTGCGTCCCGGCACAAAGTCTTCGGCGCTAAACTTATTTGAATTGACCATAATTGTAAATGGACAAGCACAAAAGCCCCTTAAAATAGCTTAAAATCCCTTGCTGCCATCGAAGCACTTCTGGGATGGAGACTGCAGATCGGATGATGGCCGATGACGGCGAAACCAGCATGGAAATCGTTGTGGGTGCTGTTTAAGTTTAAGGTAAAAGAAGATTTTATTGGGGAAATGCTTAAGTTAGACAACGTCACTTCTTTGAAAGATCAATTGAGGCTCAGTTTAGACCTTTGGTACTTTAGCACTTTCTTAATACAGTCATGGACAAAAGTCTTTTAACGTTGGTTTTTAGAAGTTTGTTCTTTGTATATCTGGGTCCAAATCCGACCAATTTGCAAACGGTTAAAAGATTTAAAGAGCTTATTATCTCGAATTTTAACATTACAAAAGGATGGATTTAACAATTTATCAGGTATCATTAACTTTTTAATAAAACAAAAATTGAGCCAAGAATTAATGGACAAAAGTCTTTTAACATCAGTTTTTCGAAAAATTTCTTCTTTTTCTGTCTTTTTCTGTCTTTTTCCTTATGATTTCTGGTTGCTAACTGTAATAATTTAGATGCCCGAGGCCTACTTATCAACTTCTGACAAAGATAAAATCGTCAAAGCTCGAAAAAATGGCAAAGCCGTCGCTGAGCTCTTCCGCTGTACCAAAACCAGTGTATCGCTTGTTGTCTCCAGGGTCAAACTCGCGGGAAACCTTCATCGTGCATCAAAGAGTGGACGTCCAGTTACAACTTTACGAGAAGACAATGCGCTCGTTCTGGCCCACAAGAAGAACCCAAATCTGAATGCCTCTGATGGCGTGGCTATGGTGAAGCAACAATTTAACAAAGAAATTTCTCGAAAAACAGTGAGTCGACGCCTGATGGATTGATGACTAGAAGGGCCGCCAAGAAACCTCTGATGGTAGCTAGGCACCGGAAGCTTTGTCTCGAGTTTGCTAAGAAGTATCAAAGTTGGACGTCGCACGATTTGGCCAATGTTTTGTTCACCGACGAATCGAAAGTCAATCTTTTCGCCCCTGATGGCAATCATTTGATACGGAGACCAGTCGGACAACGCCATAACATTAAACGCATTCCAAACCCATTCAAGATAGGTTTCCATTGGTGGAGCCGGATTTTCATTGTGAGTCTTCATCTTCACCCATTCACCATCCAATCTTCATATTAGACTCAAATCCTCGTTTTAAAAGAAGCATTCTAAACCACATTCGGTGCTTGAATGTATTTGATGCAACCTCCAGGTACCAGAATCGAATCTAATTGCAAATCCTTTAGAATTTTCTTTGTAGCTTTTGTGAGCCAAGAAGTTATCCGAGAAGTTAAATATCAAATGCAAAATAGTGACGATTCTCGACGTGATTCGACTCAAATGTACGCTGGATGTGGAAGAAGTTCAATTGAGTCGAGATTTTTGATCTTTTCCTTGGTTTGTCTGGCGGTGTGAGGTTTTGCATTGTACCCGAATTTCGAATGTTTCCATCTCTTTCCTTCAAAGTAAAAAATAAAAAATAAATCGTTAAACACACGATAACTTAGTAAAATATGAAAGAGCAGATCAAATGCTACAAAATAAATATGGCACGTATAAATAAAACGAATTTATTAGCTTTAAAAAATTGTTCAAACTTAAAAAGAATAAAAATGGAAAGATTTTGGTTCACCTTAATACTACTACTAGCTACCGTAAATACTGTAATAGTACCCGTCCCGTGGGTAGACTTGCATCACGAGATTATCGATACAAACGGTAAGTTCATGTTTGAGCCTTCAGATCTCCGTTTCCCGTACAGCTATAAACTTATTTTATTGGAAAGTCAAGAATGTCAGCTTTTGATTGCTATTTCACACATAGCGAATTCACATAGATGAGTGCCTTAAAAGGCTTATCAATATACAAATAACGAGAAGTATCGATAAGGTTTATGAGGTGCCTACTCATGAAAAGTCGCCATGTATAAAATAGCAATCAAAAGCTGACATTCTTGACTTCACAATGAAACAATTCTCAGATTGAGAGCTGTTCTAGAAACAGAGATCTGAACGTTCAAACATTAGCATCGTTTGTATCGATAAAATCGATAGGCTAGTCTACCTATAGGGCACTAGAGGGATGGGGTACTATTAGGGTATTTACGGTATATAAGCCTACAAAAAGAATTGAATTTATCGCAAATCTCTTTAGATACACGAATACGGTGCGTTTATTGAAAATCACTGTAAAAAAAAATCACTTTTTTCCAACTTCCAAGCAACCTTTTTTTCAGTTTTCTACTTCACAATTTTATTTCTCACTGTTTTCAATCAGAAAACACATTTAGCTACCTATCAAAACCCCAAAAAGAATCATTTTTGCGTCACCGATACGCCTTTTTACTCTTTATAAAAAAAAGTTTAAAAGTTTAGACTGTTTGCTTTTATTTGTGAGCAAGTTTAAGCCATTTACCTTGCCATATAGTTACCGAAAAATAGACACAATTTAAAGCAACACAAACAGCTCTGGAAATAATCACACAAGAAAACTCTCGACAAAAAAAGGAAATGACCCTTGATACGAGAATAATTGTCAGCAAATAAAAGCAGGTTAACAATATGAAGACTTTGGCATACAAGAAAGTGTGTAAAATGTCGGAAACATTTGAAACGAAATCACAAGAGCTAACCGAGAGGGCAATGAAATCTCAGAAATCTTCAGAAAATCTTCAGAAAATCACAATAAGGGCTAAGGCTAAGCGGAAAGAGCAAAAATACGAATATACCTACGGATACGATGCATCAAAATCGATCAAGATGAGCTTTGAATCCCTGGGATCGTTTCGCGATCTAACTGCACAGATGAGCAATGTTTCGGCGGCCCTGAGACGCCAAATGCCACCGCCATATCCAAGACGAACGAGGTCACGGACGAAAATACCTGAAATTGGAAAAAAATTAACAACAGAATAGTTTAGTATCCAACATGAATTAAAGCTTGAATAGTTAACGAGCCAAGCTATGTAGTTAATAAATTTTACTTCAAAGAAAACTTGAAGTCTGGATAAATTTGCTTCTCTTATAGCCTACTTTACTAGGTAATTTAGAACAACATACCTTTATCCACATCCCACAGCTTGGCCGAGCCATCGAAAGAACCTGTTACCAAAAGTCCCGAGTCGAGCAATTGCAATAAAGTGATGGCTGACGTGTGACCATTTACGCCTTGTAAGCGATGAATGCATGAACCACCGTCACGAATGTCCCAAACCTAAAGAAAAAGAAGTAGTTGTCATAGGCTTGATTAGACATACCCCGACGTCCGAGTTGGCATAGCAGCCGACCAAAATGTTTCCGCGAAGTTGCATGTCAGAGCCCCAGGTCCTTTCATGACCGACAAGAATTGCGATGCATCCTGAAAGAAACAAATATAAATGATATTGCAACAGAATAGCGAACAAGTAAAACCCACTTCCTCTTTGCACATCCCAGACGCGAATCGATCCGTCACGACTACCCGACACGACAAGATCGCGCTCTGGCTCAAACTAAAACAGAATCCTGCTTAAAGCCTAAATTTGACAAATCAACTCACCAAAAGTAAATAGATTGGCTCCGTGTGACCCGTCAGCGTGTGCAAACACTCCTCCGTGTGTACATTCAAAACCTTATAGAATACTATAAAATTGAACAAGCAAGCATTACAAACCTTTAGAGTAAAATCACTAGCAGGAACCACAACCCGAATTCCATCAAATTGAACACAACAAACCTGAAATTCAACTTTGCTTACGCCATAACTTTGATATAAATACAGGCCTCATGTGGCCAGTCAAAATGTGAAGGCATTTCCCGTCGACAATGTCCCAGACTCGGAGTGTTCCATCGCACGATCCAGAAACAAGACTAAAACATTATCATTTTAGCTAAAGCACAAAAGTTCGAAAACCCACGTTGTACCATATAGACTCATGCACCACACTTCACTGGTATGCCCCTGCAGAACATGACGCTGTGCACCGGTTTGACCACACCAAACGCGCACCGTTCGATCAGTCCAGCCACTTAAATATTGCAATAGACTTCGTTGTCACATGTACTTTTGTCTAGAAAATTGTTAGCTTCTTTGGCAACACTGATCAATTGCACTAACTAGAGCCTATTAACTAACCTGACAATGTATTTGCCATCATCGCTCACTTGAGACGTCTTAACAACACCCATCTGGCCAGTTAGAGTGAAAACAGGCTAAATTAAGACGTACAATAATGGCAAAACGAAACAAACTTGAGCATCATCAACATTCCAAACCCGCAACGCATGATGATAACCAGCTACGATACGACCAGAGTGAATTTGTAGACAAGTGACCACATGTTCATCGCGGTCCTAAAAGCAATTTTTATAACCAAAGCATTTGTCCAAACCTTTAAAACAGTGCTTGATTGAATCGGTCGGGATCGCCAATTCGAAATGATTCGCTTCTTCCGCAAGTACAGTGACTTCCATGAGGATCGCTCATAACACCTAGAAAAATTTCCTTTTTTTTTCAAAATTTCAACAAGTCGCGGCACTAACTTTCCATATGCGATCTCGCGTTCGCGTCGATTCTGATGTGCTTCTTGAAGGCTCATATGTGAGCAGATTGTGATTCCAGCTTCCTCATTTGCTCGATTCCGTGCCCAGCCTCCGAGAAAACGAAAACTGAACAAAACGAAGTTAGTGAGAAGCCTGTGACGATCCTTTACTAATCGTATTCTTAAATGTGAACCAGTTCAACGAAACAAACATTATCATTTGTTTTCTTTCACTTTACCTCTCTATTTACTTTCGAATTCATAGCATTCTTGTCCTATGCCTTAGAAGTGTAAGATCTAGTTTAATATAAATCTATCAGATATGTATCTTTAAATGTTATATTATTTGCTTAAAACTGTAACACCTTGGCGCATCAAATTTCATATATCCTTTCTCCAAACATTTCTGTCGCCAAGTCCGATCATCTTCACAAAGTCGCCGCCACGTCCGCGAAACGCCGGCACAAACCGTCAAATGACACGGTGTCAAATAGCCGATGATGCGATAAGCAACCTAAAAATAAACAATTAATCCCACAAGCTGTAACAAAAAACAAACCTCCTCTGGCAACTGTGACAAGAAATCCTTTTGGAGCAATGGTTCGATGATATCCCTGAATTTGAAAATTTCAATGTTTAAGGTCATTCTCTTTACTCTTCGAGTTGAGTCTTGCTGCTCTCCGGCTTGTCCGACATCTCCCCTAAATGAAAAATTACAGCAGAGATAACACCGTAAATAACAAAACGAACAACCCCTGAGGAAAATACTACTACTACTAGCTACCGTAAATATTGCAATGGTACCGCAGCCAATACAATGAATGAAAGCTTTCCAATGAAATAAGTTGATACCTGTTCTAGCAACAGAGATCTGAATCGTTCAAACATTAGCATTTGTATCCATAAAACCGACAACCAAATCTACCCTTAGGGTGCTAGAGAGATGGGGCACTATTACAGTATTCATGGTACCTACACATGCTAAACGACTTGACCTGAATGAATTTTATCGCAAGTCTCTTTCAATGGGGGTGGGACAAATGCGACCTTTTTTTTTGCGCACCTGGACATTTGCGCACTTTTTTTGCTGGAAAAGGCCTTAGGAAAGGTCGTAGAGGTTCGAAAATGTTTTCATGGAAGGGAATCGTATGCGTAGATTCCGAATTTCGACAAATCGTAACATACGTAACTTAACGCTTTTCCGCAGTTTTTGCCTTTGAGCCCAAATTTGACGTGTCAGCGAGGTCTGATTTGTCGAAATTCGGAATCCACGCATACGATTCCCTTATATTTTCTGATTGGAAATATCCCTTATTGGAAATATTTTCGAAGCTCTACGGCCTTGCCTAAGGCCTTTTCCAGCAAAAAAAAAGGTGCGCAAAAAAAGGTCACATTTGTCCCACCCCGCTTTCAATACGTAAAAGGGGCGCGTTTTAGAACTCGCCATCAAAAGGCCTACGGTAGAATGTGCACAAAATCATATTTTGTGGTTCCAATTTTCAGAAAGCTCCATTCCATTCACCCACAAAATAACCTTTAGTGCATCATCTCGTAGGTGAGGTTAGGTTTATCAGTAGGATTGAAAAGACGCTGGGGCGTTGAAGCTGCGGGCGGCGAAGATTTTCGGGTATTTAACCTGAACGGGACGAAGAATTTTTCAAACGGCAAATTTAGCCGGAAAGCTTGTTTTGCGTTACAGCACAAAGTTTTGAGCGCTAAATTTATTTGAATTGACTATAATTGTAAATGGAGCACAAAAGCATCTTAAAATCCCTTGCTGCCATCGAAGCACTTCTGTGATGGAGACTGCCGATCGGATGATGGCCGATGACGGGGAAACCAGCGAGGAAATCGTTGTGGGTGCTGAGGATCAACACTGGGCACACGATTGGATACATTCGTTTAAGGTAAGAGAAGATTTTATTGGGGAAATGCTTAAGTTAGATAACATCACTTCTTTGAAAGATCAATTGAGGCTCAGTTTTGACCTTTGGTACCTAACACTTTCTTAATAAATGATAGTAAAAGGTTGAAAAGAGTAATAACTTTCGTTGTGAAAATCCGATGAAACTCTTATCCCCCTTCCATGCCAATCTAAATCATTCACTGTTTTCTGTTCAATGACAGGAGCTCTAAAAGCAAAAAAACACAAACTCATCAACGTCTCCCAAAATAAAGTTCAAAGTGTGGCTTATCAGAGTGGGGGAAGAGTGACCAGATCGATGTGATCGTATTGTGATTTCTTTAGCCAAAAATGAAAATGGGGCAAACTGAATGATTCTGATGGGGAAAAAGCAAAACGACAGGAAAATCAGAAAAAAAAAAGAAAACACAAACGTTACTACGTCAAAACGAAACGAATTTTTGGACCCTTTTCCCCTTTTGCTGTGATAAAATCTTTTATAGTGTGATAAATTCAGTCTAGTCTCAGGGTTGGATTAAGTACGTATTTTTCAAACGCTAGCGTTACACCGGATTTATCAAGATGTTCACGGAGATATCGTAACATGGGTCTAGACAAATTGGTTAACATCCAGGGTGCTGTTGACAATCCAAAGGGTAGGACTTGAAAAGCGTATGCCACTCCAGTAAAATCCGAGATGGGGCTGTGAGTCGCTGTCGAACGCCACTCGCAGTTTCAACAACCCAGCGGCGCTTTAGTGTCGATAAATTTAACCCTACCTACGAGAATATGCACAAAAGGGTGTGGGTGAAGCGCTAAAAGGCACAATGGAATGGAGCTTTCTGAAGATTGGAACCACAAAACATGGTTTTGTGTACATTCTACCATAGACCTTCTGATGGCGTATTTAAAACGCGCCCCTTTCGTGTGTTGAAAGAGCCTTTTTGCGATAAATTTCATTCTGGTCAAGTCGTTTAGCATGTGTATGTCCCCTGAACACTGTAATAGTGCCCCACTTGTTCTTAGAGGCGAAAAACTCGCGGCACCCTTTTTCGACTTCGCTCAGATTTTTGAAGGCTCGTCCACGAAGGAAGTGTGCCATGGAGCGAAAAAGATGATAATCGGATGGTGCAAGGTCCGCACTGTATGCTGGATGTGGAAGAAGTTCAATTGAGTCGAGATTTTTGATCTTTTCCTTGGTTTGTCTGGCGGTGTGAGGTTTTGCATTGTACCCGAATTTCGAATCTTTCCATCTCTTTCCTACAAAGTAAAAAATTAAAAATAAATAGTTAAACACACGATAACTTAGTAAAATATGAAAGAGCAGATCAAATGCTACAAAATAGATATGGGACGTATATATTAAACGAATTTATTAGCTTCAAAAAATTGAGTGCAAATCCTTGTTCCATATTGATTAAGAAACTACATCAAATTGGCTACAAAATGAGCTATTAGGCAAGTTTTTTGGCTGAGTAGAAAATTTTTCATAGCCATTTTAGGGCATTTTTGAACCTAAACTTTGGGAGCTCAAAAAAATTTTTCTACTGAACCAAATGAGCTAATTTCAAAAATTTATTATAAAATATATGTATTATGAACATTTTTTATGTGGGTGACTTTTTGATTGGATGCCCGGAAATACCCTCATTCGTTAGCGGCTGAATTTCGTAAGCGGCTACGACATATACAAATAAAGTTGACCCAATGGGGCTATTCATACTACCTTTCTTGGTGTTTTTACTCAACAGCACTCAACAGCAACAGCACATTACCCAATGACATGCTCCTGAATTTGTTGCTGTCTGCTGGCTCATAACTCGATGCTCCTGAATTTTTTCATGTCATTTTACATTTCATAGAAACATATTTTCTTATTTGACTCAAAATTTCAAGCATTTCACTTGAATCCCTTGATCGCCTTGATCGCCTTGATCGCCTTGAACGCCTTGAACGAGAGGCATCCGGTGGGAAAGCGAATACGAGAAAGGATGCATCGATCAAAAGCCTGCAATTCTTCATTCACATTTGCTAGTCCATTTCAAAAAAAGCTTAGAAAAGACTTTTGTAGAATGAAAGAAGTTAAACAAATCATATCTAGCTTATTAAATTATTTCAAAAATTGCTATGTAATAGGCTGATAAATTCGTAGAATTAGAAGTTTTTGATCAACTTTTAAAGTTCTACTTTCTCAAAAACTCCATCATCAATTTTCTAAAAATTTTCTAACAAATAAAACCTATTGTTGAAAAAGAGCTGATATTCCTGACTTCCAAATGAAACAATTCTCAAATTGAGAGCTGTTCTAGGAACAAAGATCTGAACGTTCAAACATTAGCATGTCGTTTGTATCGATAAAATCGATAAGCTAGTCTACCCGTAGGGCACTAGAGGGTAAAAAAAGTTTAAAAATCTAGCGTGTTTCCTTTTATTTGTGAGCAATTTAAGCCATTTATCTTGCCATATAGTTAACGAAAAAAAGACATAATTTAAAGCAATACAAACACCTTTGGAAACAATCACACAAGAAAGTTCTCGACAAAAAAGTGGCCCTTGTTACGCGAATTGTCAGCAAATAAAAGCAGGTTAACAATATGAAGACTTTGGCATACAAGAAAGTGTGTAAAATGTAAAAAAAAACATTTGAAACGAAATGACAAGCGTTAACCAATAGAGCAATCTCAGAAGAAATCTAAAAAAAAATAAAACTCAGAAGAATTGAAAGCCGAAAAAAATTCTTCAGAAAATCACAATAAGGCTTAAGGGTTGTATTGGGTTGGGGAGAATGAGTCGGCGCAAAACTTTAAAGGGACTTTTTGCACACATAAAGCCTTCTTTAAACATACGTTTGGTTTCATCAAAAAGGATCCACTATTTCTCTACAAAATGACTTTTTGAGAGATTCCACAAAGCTTTTCTTTCGTGGAGTTTATGAACTTCCAAACGCAGCTGGTTAAAATGGCAAAGAGTCCGACTCATCATTTGAACAGTTTCTTTCACATAAACCTTCTTTGGTGTTTATATAAAAAAGATAGAGCACATTCAATTACTTAAGTTGCCAAATTTGCAGGAAGATCCCACCAATGGCTTTTTCTAGATCACAGTTTGTAGTTTTTGTGAAAAAATGGCTTTTTCCTGAGCGGAGGCGCTGTTTGAATTTTCTTTTAAATGTCATTTTGTAGAGAATTAGTTAACCATTCTACTGATATCAAACGCATAGATTTGACGAAGTCGAATAGAAGTTTTAGACATTTTTTTGATTTTCGGCGCCGACTCATTCTCCCCAACCCAATAGTAGTGCGTGTGGTCCTGGAAATGGGTAAATCTGAATTGTTTGATTGCTAAAATTACAATAATCTCACCAAAAATACTCACATCGAATTGCCACATGATCTTGCTGTTCGCGCATTGACCGATCAAATCCCCATAGGGGCAAATTGTGTAGTTGGCGGTAGTCATCGCATTGTCGTACCTGGGAAAGGCTTTTGGTCAACAAATTTGATATTTGATCACGGTTTTGGTATCACAAATCTTACTCTCACAAAAATCTGATAGTCCTCTTCATCCTTCTTTCTTCTTCTTTTCAATGCCCGCTCTTGCTCACCAAATTTCGAAACGATGATGCATCAGATCGAATTCTTGCGGCGGGATGTGAGGAATTGGATCGAGGTGGTGGACCACACGGTAGGAGAAGGGAATCTGGGAAATGGAAACAATTGAAAAAAATTCTTGATTTGACTCACATTAGCGTCATGCCACTCCGCGTATCTCACATCGCCCGTCCTCGGCTGCCCGAATGTCATCATTTTTATCTAGAAAATTGGATTCTCCACAAATTCTCCACACTTGACTTTTTCCCGCGATACTCTCACCTTTTCCGGTTCGAAAAGCCCCTGTTTGACGAGATACGCGGCGCAAAGAGACGCCAACGATCCGCCAAGTGAATGCCCGACGATCTAGAAGATTTTTTGGAAAAGAAAACGATTTTCGGTGATCCTGGAACGCACAGCACTCTTGGACATAGTTTCTGTTTGGAAAAATCGGCTTTTGAAATTCAGCACGGTCACCCCCGAAATTGTTCAAGCCCAAATTTAGCCAAAATTTGCATCTCTACGTGCAATCGGCCAGCGGAAACGCCAAATTGGAACGCACTTTAGAAAATGGGCTTAAAAAGTGAGGAGGATATGCCTGATGGAAATTTGGGATACGGTAACGTATCCACTGTTTCAGCTGAAAGTCGAATTCGGCGAAGTTCAACCAAATCAGCTATCGTATCCCCGAAATTGGAGCGCATTTTAGAAAAGTGCGCCCAAGAAAGCACTCACATAGACATCGTACGTTGGGTAGACTTTTCTCAGCGTCATCACTTGCGCCTCCAAGCCGGCGGGCCACAAAAAGAAGAACCCATTGAAGAAATAGTCATAAATTAAGCCGATATTCAAAAAATTGTCTTTTTTCCTGAAATCTGGATGTCATTCAATAGATTGGCGGTCATAGTTAGTGGAAATGAAATTTTTAAAAAAACATTTTCCATAAAATCTTACCAAGCGAATTTTCAGGCTTTTTTCTGAAAAACCAAAAATTTTAAATCCTTTTTTCAGGTTATCTGGAACGTACACTTTATGTAAAAAAACTTTAAATTTAAACTTTTTGATATTTAAATTTTTTTTACTTTAACATCCCCAATATCTCGGCGACTGTCTCAAAGTTTCCGCTTGTGCCGCGAAAAGCGATCATTATCGCTTTTCGGCTGAGATCAAAAGCCGTATACGAATAACAGAAATCACCTGAAGAACTTTTAAAGTAATTTCAATGAAATAAAGACTTTGATTGTAGTGATCACATGCGACGAGGGTACTGTTGTAGAAATAAGTTGTGGAGAGCTGATTTCTTCAAAAAAAGGATTATCTTTTGATTAATATTGTGAGACTTGTAAAGGAAACAAACCAGACTTGTTTAAAAACTCAGTGTTTAAAAAGGGTGTGGGTGAAGCGCTAAAAAGCACAATGGAATGGAGCTTTTTGAAAATTGGAATCACAAAATACAAAATATGGTTTTGTGTACATTCTACCGTAGGCCTTTTGATGGCGTATTCTAAAACGCGCTTCATTTGTGTATTTAATGAGACTTTTTGCGAGAAAATTTATTCTTATCAAGTCGTTTAGCATGTGTATGTACCATGAATACTGTAATAGTGCCCCATCGCTCTCGTGCCCTAAGGGTAGACTTGCTTATCGATTTTATGGATACAAACGGCATGCTAATGTTTGAACGTTCCAGAAGTATCAATCTGAGAATTGGTTCATGAGAAAGTCAAGCTTCAACACCCCAGCGTCTTTTCAATCCTGCTGATAAACCTAACCTTACCTACGAGATGGTGCACTAAAGGTTATTTTGTGGGTGAATGGAATGGAGCTTTCTGAAAAGTAGAACCACAAAGTATGGTTTTGTGTACATTCTACCGTAGGCCTTTTGGTGGCGAGTTCTAAAACGCGCCCCTTTCGTGTATTTAACGAGACTTTTTGCGATAAATTTCATTCTGGTCAAGTCGTTTAGCATGTGTGGGTACCGTAAATACTCTAATAGTACCCCATCCCTCTAGTGCCCTAAGGGTAGACTTGCTTATCGATTTTATGGATACAAACGGCATGTTAATGTTTGAACGTTAAGATCTCTGTTTCTAGAACAGCTATCAACTTATTTCGTTGCTGGAAAGCTTTCATTCATTGTAATGGCTGCGGTACCATTACAATATTTACGGTAGCTAGTAATAGTGGTATTTTGCTCAGGGGCTTTTCGTTTTGTTTTTTACGCTTTTTCTCTGCTGTAATTTTTCATTTAGGGGAGATGTCAGACAAGCCGGAGAGCAGCAAGACTCGACTCGAAGAGTAAAGACAATGACCTTAAACTGTGAAATTTTCAAATTCAGGGATATCATCGAACCATTGTTCCAAAAGGATTTCTTGTCACAGTTGCCAGAGGAGGTTTGTCTTTTGTTAAAGCTTGTGGGATTAATTGTTTATTTTTAGATTGCGTTTCACATAATCGCCTATCTGACACCCTGCGATTTGACGGTTTGTGCTGGCGTTTCGCGGACGTGGCAGCGAATTTGTGAAGATGATCGGACGTGGCAAAAGAAATGTTTGGAGGAAGGATATGTGAGATTTGATGCGCCAAGGTGTTACAGTTTTGAGCAAATAATATAACCTTTAAAAATACATATCTGATATATTTATATTAAACTAGATCTTACACTTCTAAGGTATAGGAAGATACTGTGGTTAATTGCAAAGCAAATAAAGATTTTCGTCACAGGCTTGTCACTAACTTGTTTTTGTTTTTTCAGTTTTCGTTTTCTCGGAGGCTGGGCGGCGAATCGAGCAAATGAGGAAGCGGGAATTACAATCTTCTCACATATGAACCTTCAAGAAGCAGATCAGAATCGACGAGAACGCGAGATCGCATATGGCCAGTTAGTGACGCAACTTGTTGTTGAATTAAAATTTTTCTAGGTGTTATGAGCGATCGTCATGGAAGTCACTGTACTTGCGGAAGCAGCGAATCATTTCCAATTGGCGATCCCGAGCGATTCAATCGAGCACTGTTCTAAAGGTTTAAACAACTGTTTTGGCTATAAAAATTGTTTTTGGGGCCGCGATAAACGTGTGATCACTTGTCTGCAAATTCACTCTGGTCATATCGTAGCTGGTTATCATGATGCGTTGCGGGTTTGGAATGTTGATGTTGCTCAAGTTTGTTTCGTTTAACTATTATCATACGTCTTAATTTAGCCGGCGTTCACTCTAACTGGCTTTACGGGTGCTGTTAGGACGTCTCAAGTGAGCGATGATGGCAAATACATTGTCAGGTTAGTTGATAGGCTCTAGCTGGTGCAATTGATAAGTGTTCTCAAAGAAGCTAACAGTTTTCTAGGCAAAAATACTTATGAGGACAAAGTCTATTGCAATATTTAAGTGGCTCGAATGATCAAACGGTGCGGGTTTGGTGTTGTCAAACCGGTGTACAGCGTCATGTTCTGCAGGGGCATACGGGTGGTGTTACCTGCATAAGTCTACATGGCACAACGTGAGTGATCTGAATTTTGTGCTTTAGCTAAGATCATAATGTTTTAGTCTTGTTTCTGGATCGTCCGATCAAACGCTCCGAGTCTGGAACATTGTCGACGGAAAATGTCTTCGGATTTTGACTGGCCACATGGCGGAGGTAGGTGTATCAAAGTTATATCCTAAGCAAAGTTAAATTTCAGGTTAACTGTGTGGAATTTGATGGAATTCGGGTTGTGTCTGGTGCTGATGATTTTACTGTAAAGGTTTGTAATGCTTTTTTGTTCAATTTTATAATATTCTATAAGGTTTGGAATGTGCAGACGGGGGAGTGTTTGCACACGCTGACGGGTCACACCAAGCCAGTCTATTCACTTTTGGTGAGTTGAATTGTCAATTTTTCGCTTTAGACAGGACTCTGTTTTAGTTTGAGCCGGAGCGCGATCTTGTCGTCTCGCTAAGTTCTGACGAAACGATTCGCGTCTGGGATGTGCGAAGTGCAAGTGGGTTTTACATGTTGGCTATTTTGTTGCAATCTCCTCTATATTTCTTTCTTTTAGCATGCATCGCGATTCTTGTCACTGAGGAAAGTCTGGTCTGCCCTGACTGGCAGCTTCGCGGAAACATTTTGGTCGCTTGCTATACCGACTCGGACGTTGGGGTGCGTTTATCACTCGTTAGGCAACTACTTCTTTTTCTTTAGGTTTGGGACATTCGTGACGGTGGTTCGTGCATTCATCGCCTGCAAGGCGTAGATGGTCACACGTCGGCCATCACTTCATTTCAATGGCTCGACTCGGGACTTTTGGTAACAGCTTCTTACGATGGCTGGGTCAAGCTGTGGGATGTGGATAAAGGTAAGTGGTTCTAAATTACCTTGTAATGTAGGCTATAAGATAAGCAAACTTATCCAGACTTCAAGTTTTCTTCTAAAGTAGAATTTATTAACTACATAGCTTGGCTCGTTAACTATTCAAGCTTAAATTTATGTCGAGGTTTAGTATTCTGTTGTTAATTTTTTTATCAACTATAGGAGAATTTTTGTGATTTTCAGGTATCTTTGTTCGTGACCTCCTTCGTCTTCAGGTAGACAGTTGGAGCAGTGTCTTCGCGACCGAAACATTTCTCCTATATGCAATTAGAGAGACGCAAGACGGAGCCGATGAAAACCCAAAGTTCATCTTGATCGATTTTGACGCATCGTATCCATAGTTATGTTCGGATTGTGGCTCTTTTGCCTTATCGTGATTTTCTGAAGAATTTTTTTTCGCTTTTCAATTCTTCTGGGTTTACATAGCTCTCGGTTAACGTTTGTGATTTCATTTCAAATGTTTCCCAAATTTTGCGCACTTTCTTCTATGCCAAAGTGTTCACTTTATTTACTTTTATTTTTTCCATTGATCTGCTTTTATTTACTAAAAATTATTGTCAGAACAACAATCTTTTCCTTTTTCTGTCAAGGGTTCCCTTGTGTGATTCTTTCCAGAGGTGTTTGTGTTGCTATAAATTGTGTCTTTTTTTCGTTAAATATATGGCAAGATAAATTGCTTAAACTGGCTCACAAATAAAAGGAAACAGGCTAGATTTTTAAACTTTTTTTTACAAAGAGTAAAAAGGCGAGTTGGTGACGCAAAAACGATTGTTTTTGAGGTTTTTATAGGTCTTCTTCTTCGCGCCCGAAACATTTCTCCTATGTGTAATTATACCGCGAGACAGAACCGAGAACAGAAATTTCATCTTGATCGATTTTGACGCATCGTATCCATAGTTATATTCTGATTTAGCGTTTGTGATTTCCTTTCAAATATTTCCCGCATTTTACACATTCTCTTGTATGCCAAAGTGTTCATTTTGTTTACCTTTATTTTGCCATTGATCTGCTTTTATTTACTAAAAATTATTCTGATAACAACAATCTTTTCGTTTTTCTTTCAAGAGTTCCCTTGTGTGATTCTTTCCAGGGGTGTTTCTATTGCTTTCAGTTGTGTGTTTCGTTTTCGTTTGAGAATTTACACATGCAAGATAAATGGCTTAAACTGGCTCACAAATAAAAAGAAACGGTTAACTTGTTTAGAGTTGCGTGTAACAAAATAGTAAACAGGGTTTTGTTACTTGGAATGTGTGAGAAATCGAACGTTGAAAAGTACATGGCACATTTGAACATAGTAGGCTCAAAGCCATTGTTTTTTCCTGGAGTGAAAATGCTCATCCTTCAAAGCCCTGCAGAAAGCTTGGCACGAGCTGGACACGCCCTACCTTCTCGCCACTAGAGTGTGTTCCTCACGAGTAATGCGGTTTTTTAAAACGCAGACTTAGTAAAAATTACCGTACTTTTAGCGAAGAATTACCGTACTATTGCAAAAAATTGGCGCGAAAAAATCACGAGCGACGACTTATATACGACTCTTTTTAAAGATATTCAGCCGTTTAAATGACTTGGTGGCAAATTCCCCTCACAAGTAAGGATACTCAATTTACTCGAAGTAAAGAGGATTACTCGTAGTCACTCGACCAAAAACGTCGATTAATCGAGTAAAAATTACTCATGCAAATTTTACTCGAGTAATTACTTATTCTACTGGAACACACTCTACTGGCCACCGTGGACGCGTCCCCAAAGCGCCTCCAGGCTTGTGTTGCCGCCAAGAGAGATCTTTTTGAAAAATATAAATTTTTAAGTTAAATTATTGTATTAAAATAAATTTTTGCTGTTTTGGTGTCATTTTAATGCAAGGTGGTCTTTAAATCTTCAACTTCTTTAGTCCCCGTAATTCGATGAAACTCTTCTCCCCCTCCCATGTCAATCTAAGCCATTCACGGTTTTCCGTTGAATCATAGAGCTTAAAAAGAAAAAAAAGGCACAAACTTATCAACGTCTCACAAAAGAAGATTCAGAAAAAAAAGTCAAAGTGTGACCGGATCGATGTGTCATTTCTTTGGCCAAAAAAGACGGGGAAATGGGAGAAATCTCTGGCATCTCTGACGCGAGATCTTGATAAAATTGTCGAGTGTTCATGGTTTCGTCAACGATTTCGCTCGATTTCATATTGATTTATAGTGAGTTCGTTGAGAAAAGCTAATGACTTAATCTTAAGGAATTTTTTTTATTGAAAAGAGCGCATCAAAAAAACCCTAGATTCAAAAAAATTGCTTTTTGATTGAGAAAAGGTTTAACTACCGATAACGAGTTTTCGTTTTCAACCTTTTCACCTGCAAATTTTGATATTCTAAACATTAAAAGGGCACAAAATACACGAAAAAAAATGGCACAAAGTTCCGTATTTTGTTCTGTATTTTGTTTGGAAAAACGATCCCTCGGGAGCCGCCTTTTTGAAGTCATCCGAAAATCTGAGCAATTAGAAGTAATTGAGATTTTGAAAAAAATTTCCAATGAAGAGTTGTCTTTTGCTGAAAGCTTTTGCAATGAAGAATGGTTTTATGGCAAGATTTCTATAGTTATTTTTCGTTTCTTCTTTACATATGCGTCGTGGTAACGATTTGGAGAAGCAAGAATCGACACTTCGACTCGTCGTTTTTTCGAATTTTTCTCGTTATTGGTTTGTGTTTTTTAGCTTTGCTTTTGCTTTGGATTTGGTAGTGAATTTAAGTTTTTCTCTTTCTTTTGATCTTTTAATGCTATCATTAGATAGGATAGATGTCGGCAGTTAGAAAGATGTCGGCAGTTAGTTAAACTGCAGTTGACTGAACGAGGGAAAGGAGTGTTATTGTGGAAGTTAGAAATCAAATAGTTTCTAAAAAATTCTAAACGCTATTAGCTTGGTAAATATGAAAGGTTATTTTTTGATCAACCACCAGATTTAACAACAGAAAAATTTATTTAAACACTTTCAAAATCAAATGTATTCACCACAAGCATTAATAACTTCTTTCCAACTTCTTTCCATTAATAACTTCCCAAATCACGAATGCCGTCCTCGTTTTTTTCAGATTTTTAGAGGCAAAATAGTTGGAAACCCAATCTTCGATGTCCCGCTTTTGCTTGAATTGCTTTCCAGAAAACGCTTGTTTCATAGACCGAAAGAGGCGGTAATCCGATGGGGCTAGCTCAGGGCTGTATGGTGGGTGAGGAAGAAGTTTCCATCCCAACTTATCGATCTGTTCGTGGGCGACCTTTGAAATTTGCGGCCTAGCATTGTCGTGAAGAAATCTGACCTTTGAATCTGACCCCGCTTTTTCCTCAGTGCCCGCTTTCTTTCTACACTTCCTCAGTGCTCGACCCAGTTGTTCTGCATAAAGTCTTCCATCAACAGTCTCGCCTTTATCTAATACTTCAAAATAAACCAATCCGTTAGTATTCCACCACACACAGAGCATAACTTTCTTCCCGTATATCGGAGGCTTCGGGATTGGATGAGGGCTCTGCTTCGAACTCAGCCACTGTCCATGGAGTTGAATGTTTTTAGACGGAAGCCAATTCTCATAGCCAAGTCTCTACAAATGTTCTGATGGCATTCCGTAGCTTTCTTGTTTAACTTGCATTCAAAGAATATGGCAGCCCTGATTTTCAATTTTTGTTCATCCATCTTTGTCGAGCTGAAACAATATAAATATTATTCAAAACAAAAAAGTTTTTGCAAAAAAAAAACATAAGCACATTTTGACATACAGTACTGGACAATGAAATATCATATTTGAAAAAAGATGGTCACTTTCGCGCGTCTGTAACTCCCTTGTCTTTGAGTTTAAACTATTAGTGTTATACATTTTCTGAAAGCTCTTTTCAAGGGCTACACAATGGTAATATTAATATAAGGGTAAAGATAAGGGAGTTACAGACGCGCGAAAGTGACGATCTTTTTTCAAATATGATATTTCGTTGTCCAGTAGTGTATTATTGAGAAAAATCCTAGACAGCGAATGTTCTTCGTAACGACAGGGCAATATTTTTTGTAAAAATAACCTTTCATATTTACCAAGCTAATATTCTCCAGGCGTCATCGACTTGGCATCGTTTCCATTCTTCCAAATGAATCCCCTCCTTCAATCATCGCCACCCGGAAGGACAATCTTGCAGATCTTTTTGCAGGTCTCAAAAAACCAATAAAAAGATCACACGAAGCTTTTCAGCTTTTCCGAACCGGCCACTGCATGTTATCCGTGGTGATGTCATTAAATCGTCTAACAAGTGTTCTCTATCCGTTAAATCATCAAAAGGTATTGTTCATTCAAAAATTCCGATATTAAAAGACTGATTGCAGATTTGGGAAGAAAAGAGTGGTCGTAATTTGAAAAGAGCGATCGGATTCGCGTTGTTTTTCGACTTCCTCTCGCAATGTCACTCGATTAAATTCATTTTTCTATGGGGTTGGAAAGACTCGTGGCTCGGCTATCCTCAGATTCCCAGTTTTGATGCGGTGAGTGCAAATTCTTGTTCCAAACTTTCTATTCAATTCATAGGCTTTTTTCATAAACCTATGATATTTGTCTATCAACCAAGAGCCATTTTTCAGTGGCACCGGCTCTATTACGCCGTTCTGGTGACTACGGTGGCCGCACTCGGTCTGAGCATGAATCTGATAACTGTGTGGAAAATGAGGTAACCGTTTACATTTCTGTTTCTTAATGAGCTACTGAAGAGGCAGGGTTTTAAGTATGTATTTTTATCTTCAAGTGATGGATTATGAGTCAATTAAGAACATAGAGAAAACTTGTGTCGAAGTTGAACTTCCAAATTCCGTGACGAGTTTCGGAGTTTGGGAACTTTTCTATTCTACTCTATAACTCGACTCCCAGTAATCAGATCGACTTGCGGTTGGTTTTAAAATGATCCTCATTAAATTAAATACATAGATCATTGTTGTTTGATTTGATCAGTGTTTCAACCAAAATTTTCAAGTACCTGAAAGTTCAAGCCAAACCAAGCCACAAAAGCTATATAAGATTTGGTTCAGATTTGTGAGAAAAATCGAATAAATAGCCAAGCCAAAGGAACTCAGTGAATAGCTTTTTCAAAAAAATCCTTGTTTAAAGTAAATGGAACTAGGATGAAAGGCGTAAAAACCTAAAGAAGCTAATAAAATTTGATCAATTTGGAGTTAGAGGTTTGACCGTTTAGAGGTTTAACAAAGAAACAACAGCAATGGAGTATGCTCGGGATCACCATCTTCAGCACGCTAATCCAGATCCCTGCCGCTCTTTTCTTTGTGAGTTGCGATTCTCTTTTGCATTCGAAATCTTCAATTTTAAGAGCGCTCTTTCCTATACGGCATTCACGGGTAATCAACTCGAGCTGGCATCACTTATTGGCCAATTTGTGAGTCTTTCATTCCAATCAATTTTCTTCAAACGAACTCACAATTAGAACGTGGATAGCTCTGTACATTTGCAATTAAATTTCAGTTTTCCCCAGAGCCTAACAGACATCGGTTTTTTGAGCATTTTAGTCTAAACAACTATTGATACACTTTGTAACAAAAATTATAGACGATGATGTCATTTTTTATGCAGAGTTTATTAGGGATGACTAAAATTCACTATCTCTTAGCTTATAATCAAGCAACACCTCTTCAGAAGAAGACGAGCTAATATTTCGAGTAGCATAAATGCAAATTTCAGTCAAGTCTAGTCGCTCTGTTCGTCGGCAACTATCAACCCTATTGGGTGCTAGTGACGTCGAAGGAGTTGAGAAGAGAGATGCATTGGAACGCGCGAAGGTGCTTTGGTCTGGTTACAAACAGGAGCCAACAAATTCATCTTCAATCAGCAACTTGGACTAGTTAATTGCCCAATTTTAACATTCACCGTCTATGCATACAAATAAAGTTGACCCAATGGGGCTATTCATACAACTTTTCTTGGTGTTTTTATTCAACAGCACTCAACAGCAAGAGCACATTACTCAATGAAATGATCACAACTTGGTGCTCCTGAATTTTTTGCGTCATTCTACATTTCATAGAAATTTAGAAAAGTTTCAAGGAAAACCGTCGAATCCATTAAAAAATTCATAAGACCGGGTATGCGGTTCCCCAAATCTTTGTGCCAATCATGAAAACATGTGCATATTTGATTATGATCGTCAAATATATCACCCAATGCATCGGTGAGTATTCTAATATCTCGGTGAAGTGCCTAAAAAAACTGTGAAACTCTTAGACTTATCTTTTGAAAAATCTCTAATATTGTATTAGATTGGCGACTTCAAATTTTGGTACATTTATTCATTGCACTTTTCAGAAATAACTAATGCACCAATCAATCTAGAGCTTTTACCAATAAAAAGTTCTATTTTTATTTTCTTAAAGCAGACGTAGCAACGTTTGCCTTTTTCTGTCCTTTTTGCCTTTTTTTCGATCAGAATCGTTCAGTTTCCTCCACATCGATCCGTTCACACTTTGATCTTTTTTCTGAGTCTTCTTTTGCGAAACGTTGTTAAGTTTGGGCCTTATTTTTCTTTTTAAGCTCTGTGACTCAACGGAAAACCGTGAATGGATTAGATTTACCTGCGGCCGGGAGAAGAGTTTCATCGAATTACGGGGACTAAAGAATTTGAAGATTTAAAGACCACCTTACATTAAAATGACACCAAAACAGCGAAGTGCAAGTGGGTTTTAGTTGTTCGCTATTTTGTTGCAATCTCCTCTATATTTGTTTCTTTCAGCATGCATCGCAATTCTTCTCAGTCATGAAAGGGCCTGGGACTCTGGCATGCAACTTCGCTTCGCGGAAACACTTCGCGGAAACACTTTGGTCGCCTGCTATGCCCACTCGGACGTTGGGGTACGTTTAATCAAGCCTATGACAACTTCTTCCTTTTCTTTTGATTTGGGACATTCGTGACGATGGTTCATGCATTCACCACTTACATGGCGTAAATAGTCACACTTCGGCCATCACTTCACTTCATTCATTGCAATCATTGCAATTATCAATACTTATGGATACACAAATATCGATAAGTATCGATAAGGTTTATGAGGTGCTTGCACATTAAAAGTCGTTATGTATCAAATCGCAATCAAAAGCTGACATTCTTGACTTTCTCATGAACCAATTCTCAGATTGCTACTTATCGATACTTCTGGAACCTGAACGGTCAAAGATAAGCATCCCGTTTGTATCGATCAAATCGATAAGTAAGTCTACTCTTAGGGCCCTAGAGGGATGGGGCACTATTACAGTATTCACGGTACATACACATGCTAAACGACTCGACCAGAATGAAATTTATCGCAAAAAGTCTTATTCAACACACGAAAGGGGCGCGTTTTAGAACTCGCCATCAAAAGGTCTACGGTAGAGTGTATACAAAACCATATTTTGTGGTTCTAATTTTCAGAAAGCTCCATTCCATTGTGCTTTTTTCCATTGTGCGCTTCACCCACACCCTTTTCTGCATCTGACGAATGAAAAATTCTTCGCCGCCCCCAGCTTCAACACCCCAGCGTCTTTTCAATCCTGCTGATAAACCTAACCTTACCTACGAGATAAGGTTAGGTTTATCAGCAGGTTTATCAGCGGCACTAAAGGTTATTTTGTGGGTGAATGGAATGGAGCTTTCTGAAAATTGGAACCACAAAATATGGTTTTGTGTACATTCTACCGTAGGCCTTTTGATGGCGAGTTCGAAAACGCGCCCCCTTCGTGTATTTAAGGAGTATTTAAGACTTTTTGCGATAAATTTCATTCTGGTCAAGTCGTTTAGCATGTGTATGTCCCATGAATACTGTAATAGTGCCCCATCGCTCTAGTGCCCTAAGGGTAGACTTGCTTATCGATTTTATGGATACAAACGGCATGCTAATGTTTGAACGTTCAGATCTCTAGAATAGCTATCAACTTATTTCATTGGAAAGCTTTCATTCATTGTAATGGCTGCGGCACCATTACAATATTTACGGTAGCTAGTAATAGTAGTATTTTGCTCAGGGGTTTTTCGTTTTCTTACTTACAGTGTTATCTCTGCTGTAATTTTTCATTTAGGGGGATGTCGGACAAGCCGGAGAGCAGCAAGACTCAACCTGAAGAGTAAAGAAAATGACCCTAAACAGTGAAATCTTCAAATTCAGGGATATCATCGAACCATTGTTCCAGAAGGATTTCTTGTCACAGTTGCCACAGGAGGTTTCTCTTTTGTTAAAGCTTGTGGGATTAATTGTTTGTTTTTAGGTTGCATCTCGCATCATCGCCTATTTGACACCGTGCGATTTGACGCTTTGTGCTGGCGTTTCGCGGACGTGGCAGCGACTTTGTGAAGATGATCGGACGTGGCGACAGAAATGTTTGGGGAAAGGATATGTGAAATTTGATGCGCCAAGGTGTGTTACAGTTTTGAGCAAATAATATAACAGTTAAAAATACATATATGATAGATTTTGTATTAAACTGGGTTTTACACTTCTAAGGTATAGGATGATACTGTTACTGATTCAATAATGTGATTATTCTGCAGCAAAGAAAGCTTTAAAGCGAAAGAAAACAAGTGATAATGTTTGTTTCGATGAACTGGATCACATTTAAGAATACGATTAGTAAAGGGTTCGTCACAAGCTTGGCACGAACTTATTTTTGTTTAGCTTTCGTTTTCTCGGAGGCTGGGCGGCCAATCGAGCGAGCGAGCAAGCGGGAATCACAATCTTCTCACATATGGACTTTCATGAAGCACATCAGAATCGACGGGAACGCGAGATCGCATATGGACAGTTAGTGCCGCGACTTGTTGTTGAATTAAATTTTTTCTAGGTGCTATGAGCGATCGTCATGGAAGTCACTGTACTTGCGGAAGAAGCGAGTCATTTCCAATTGGCGATCCCGACCGATTCAATCAAGCACTGTTCTAAAGGTCAATCAAGCACTGTTCTAAATGTTTTGGTTATAAAAATAGTTTTTAGGGCCACAATGAACATGTGATCACTTGTCGAAGAATTCACTCTGGTCGTATCTTGGCTGGTTATCTTGATAATACGTTGCGGGTCTGGAATGTTGATGATGCTCAAGTTTGTTTCGCTTTACCAGTATTTTACGTCCTGTTTCAGCTGGCTTTCACTCTAACTGGCCATATGGGTTACATTGGGACTACTCTAGTGAGCGATGATGGCAAATACATTGTCAGGTTAGTTAATAGGCTCTGGCTAGTGCAATTGATAAGTGTTATCGAAGATGCTAACAAATTTCTAGACGAAAATGCTTATGAGAACAAAGTCTATTAAAATATTTGAGTGGCTCGACTGATACAACGGTGCGGGTTTGGTGTGGTCAAACTGGTGTACAGCGTCATGTTCTGCAGGGACATACGGATGCTGTTAACTGCATAACTCTACATGGCAGAACGTGAGTTATCTAAATTTTGTGCCTTAGCTAAAATCACTTTAGTCTTGTTTCTGGATCGTGCGATCAAACGCTCCGAGTCTGGGACATTGTCGACGGGAAATGCCTTCACATTTTGACTGGCCACACGTGGAGTGTATTTGTATCAAAGTTATAGCCTAAACAAAGTTAAATTTCAGGTATGTTTTGTAGAATTTGATGGAAAACGGGTTGTGTCTGGTGCCTATATTTTTACTGTAAAGGTTTGCAGTGTTTTTTTTGATCAGTTTTATAATATTTTATAAGGTTTGGAATGTGCAGACAGGGGAGTGTTTGCACACGCTGACAGGTCGCACGGGTCCAGTCTATTCACTTTTGGTGAGTTGAATTGTCAATTTTTGGCTTTGATCAGAATTCTGTTTTAGTTTGAGCCGGAGCGCGATCTTGTCGTCTCGGGAAGTGACGATAGAACGATGCGTGTCTGGGATGTGCGAAGAGGAAGTGTGTTTTACTTCGCTATTCTGTTGCAATATCATTTATATTTGTTTCGTTCAGCATGCATCGCGAATCTTGTCACACATCAAAATTCCTGCTCTGACTTCCAGCTTCGCGGAAATATTTTGATCGCCTGCTATGCCAACTCGGACGTCGGGGTATGTTTAACCAAGCCTATGTCAACTACTTCCTTTTCTTTAGATTTGGGACATTCGTGACGGTGGTTCGTGCATTCATCGCTTGCAAGGAGGAAGTGGTCACACGTCGTACATCAACTCATTGCAATGGCTCGACTCGGGACTTTTGGTGACAAGTTCTCACGATGGCTTGGTCAAGCTGTGGGATGTGGATAAAGGTAAGTTGTTCTAAATTACCTGGTAAAGTAGACTATAAGATAAGCAAATTTATCCAGACTTCAAGTTTTCTTCTAAAGTAGAATTTATTAACTACAGAATTTGACGTTACCTATTCAAATTTAAATCGTTCAGGGTTAGTATTCCGTTGTTAATTTTTTTATCAACTAGACAAGAGATTTTGTGATTTTAAGGTATCTTTGTTCGTGACCTCGCTCGTCTTCAGGCAGACAGTTGGATTGGGAGACTCTTCGAGACCGAAACATTTCTCCTATGTTCAATTGCATCGCGAGACCAAACCGAAAACGGAAAGCTCATCTTGATCGATTTTGACGCATCGTATCCATAGTTATATTCATATTTTTGCTCTTTCCCCTTAGGCCTTATTATGATTTTCTGAAGAATTCTTTCGATTCGGTAGTTATATTCTGATTTGGATTTTGTGATTTCCCAAATTTTGCGCACTTTCTTGTATGCCAAAGTGTTAGATTAGATTAGATTTAGGTCAGTGAGGTCAGTTAGATTTAGGTCAGTGAGGGATACACTACTGGACATAATTGTCAGCTCCGAGCGAAACTGATATTTAAGTTACTATTGTTATTGTTGAATGACTTGTCTATTCTTATGTAAATGCAATCTCCCCTGTGCTTATCCCTTTCATCGCCGAGAAGCAGGCGGTCCTTGGGATTGCCTAGGAGGACAAGTGAGGCTCTCACTTGGAATCCCCCCTTCCCATTTCACTCAATTGTAATCTAATCGTCTTATCGTACTACTGTAAATAAAGATACGTATCTTCCGGGTTTATGCAGCTGCAGTTCAGGTCAGTCATTTCACAGGGACTCCCCTCTAATACGTTGGAGGAGTTGAGTTGGGTTGTCGGGGTGTTAGAGATGGCTGGATATCAAATATCAACTCTCTTTAACTTAACCCAAATTCTAGTCGATATCCGCTTACTCCTTGGAACGAACATAAAGGGAAAACCCCCGTCGAAAAAAGTTTTCCTTATTGTTACCGTAACTACTGTAATCGAGGGTCACACCTCCATGTTAGTTTTATCGATTGCAGTGAAAAGATCACAGTGCTCGACCCATTCACCCTATAATGATAACAAAGCAATGAAACTCGAGTTACTCAAGCAAAAACTTACGTGCCTCATAATACGGAAGAATTCACAGCAAAGAACTTCAACAAGTTGCTCGTTAACTTTTTTCCTAAATTAACTGTGTGTCTTTTTTTAGACAGACTGAGAACTTGTAAAACTCGGATCCGGCGTCAAGCACTTGATCGGCGATCTCTTCGAAAAGCTTCAATTTATGCAGCTCATCTCTATGTCATATATCAGCTTATCAGCTGATAAGCACTTTTTTGTCACTTTTCAATCATTTTTTCTAAGCGCTGGTTAATGTTAAAAAATGTTTGTTTATCTCAAAAAATTTCCCATTCTCTCTACCTTAATTCGATACCTGAACGAGCAGAAACAAACGTACTGGCGTCGAGATGTGAGCGTTTGTTTGAGAGTAAACTTTGACTACGCGACGCTCCTATAGGGGGGCCGTTCTATTAGAGTTTTTACAGTATTTAGATTCCCTAGACTCTTAGCAAAATTTTGACATGTTTGGGGATTATGAGGTGAGGAATAAAATAAGAATTGGAATTATGAGATTTGGAACTAACCTTGAGGAGTAACACACGTTCAAGCACGTGACAATACTTATTAGCCAGCCTTTATATTGTGATACAATATGAAGGGTACAATATAATATACGATATGTATTCATACACCGAGACGATCATTTTGGTGTTTGTTTAAATTGTTTAGACCTGATTTTCAAAAGCTGATCTTCATAGTTTCGATTGAAAATGATGAATAACTTCAACTTGAGAAAAGAAGATTTTTTGAGATCACTTGAGAATTTCTCGAGATGCTGGAAGGCAAAAGTATTAGTACATATTTATGAAAAACAGTTTTTGTTCGCTATTCTTTAGAAGTCTCTGTTTTACCTCAACATTTTCTTTAAAAAAACTCTTAACAATGTAAGAACATTGCAATCGCAAATAGCACAATTGCAGTGTTTGTTTAAACTTACCAAAGCAAGGTGATCGTTCAATTTCGCTTCTAACTTTTTGGAAAGATCCTTTTGGTAACCGAAGAAATTCTAAATTAGGTAGTTTCAAATTACACATGAATAACAAACTATTTCCGAAGAACTTTCGAAGGCTTCTTCATCCGACAATTCCTTCTTCGGTACTGATTCTTCTTCGGTATCACTGATTAGTTCTGTTAGTTCCAGTGAGTTTATCACTGATTTGCGTATTCTAAATGCATATTACATAATAGAAAAAAAAAACACTTTTTCCAATTCAATCTTCAAATTTTTGATCTGGATCATTAGGTAGGTAAGTGTAATTTACCTCTCAACCAAACTAATGTAAATTGTATGCGAAAAATTCTGGAAATTTTCCTCAATTTAATCAAAGAATGATTTAATTTGTCCTTTCATTTCATCGTCGCTTTCAGGAAAATCTTCTTTGTGCAAACCCATCTGTAATTGAAACTTTAAAATCACTTATCCATAAAATTGGAATAATATTAAATAATATAAAGTATGTATTTGCAAACTTGAAGTACTTGAAGCAAAACCTACCAAAAAAAATCTATACGAAAAACTTCTTCTTATCATGAGTTTGATGACTATTTGATGACTATTTGATGCCTTTTTTTCAATCCAGAACTCACCCAGGTTTCCAAAGTGATGCTGGATCGAACGTCTCCCAAACAGTGATTAAAACCGAGAGAAAATTCGACATCAAATATGTTAACACGATGATTGCCAGGGTTCGACGGCGCCACGGATTCAGGCCTAAAAATTTGGCTTTAAGATTTGATTTTCTAAGTTTAGGCTAACTAGGGAAGCACGAATTCAAAGCTATATGACTTACGTAAGTCGGAAACGGGCAACACGATGGTGTTTTTAGTTTCTACCCAAGCGCGCTAGATTTCTGTAAAAACGAAATTTGATCCCCTAGTGCACTGAGCGACTTATGAGTTTGTAAGGTCTACTGTCGCTCACCAAAAAAAGTGACTCAGTGGTGTGGTGATAGTGCCGCTGTCTCCGAGTTTGAGTCCTGACAAGGCGACGATTTCATTAAATACTTGGAATAAACATTTTTTATTTGGTTGTCAATCTATCAAAAAATGGTCTTTCCATGCCACACTTTATTGGCAATGTGTACACTCTTAACGTGTAGTACTATTAGGTTGAGGAAAAGTAATGTCGGTTTTGAATTCCCGTGGTTGGAATTTTCCAGTTCTTTGCTTATGCGATTTTCTCAACAAAACAACTCGTGTTTTCGTTAGCTCTACTCTGCTTCAAAAAAGGCAAATCTCATGATTTTTGGGTGAGAATTCTAACATCTGATGAAACATGGATTCATATGGGAATGTGAAGCGCAATGCTTGTTTGTGTCTAACATTGTAGCGTCTTTTGTACTGAATTTTTTATTAGGTTGCGCTGTGCTTCTTTCGAAACATCAACGGAAATCTTTTTTTAGCGCCCTTAGTGACAGGAGACGAGAAAGAAAGAAGGCACAGGAAAGCAATCTATTTGCTCAGTTAACAATAAGTGCGAAAGTGTGAGCTTTGTTATCAAAAGAATAAACAAAAGCCGATTAAATTTTGCCGTGATTTTCAGAGAAGTGCTTAAGGAAAAATCTTTGGGAAAAGAATAGTTTTGCGATCAGTAAACTATCGGTAAACAAGCAAGTGCATGAGACCATCTTCCGAGCCATCAGTAGCCACCGTGATAATCGCACGATTCTTAAATGAGAGCATCATGAGGTTCTTCGGGAGTTTCTTTCACGCATTCTAAACCCATTCTAGATAGGTTTCCATTGGTGGAGCCGGATTTTCATTATGAGTCTTCGTCTTCACCCATTCACCATCCAATCTTCAGATTAGACTCAAATCCTCGTTTTAAAAGAAGCATTCTAAACCACATCCGGTGCTTGAATGTATTTGAAGCAAGCTCCAGGTACCAGAATCGAATCTATCCTAATCCTTTAGAATTTTCTTTGTAGCTTTTGTGAGCCAAGAAGTTATCCGAGAAGTTAAATATTAAATGCAAAATAGTGACGATTCTCGACGTGACTCGACTCGAATGTACGCTGGATGTGGAAGAAGTTCGATTGAGTCGAGATTTTCGATCTTTTCCTTGGTTTGTCTGGCGGTGTGAGGTTTTGCATTGTCCTGCTGAAGGACTATGCGCCTTCGATTGACCAAAGCGGGATATTTTTCACTAAGTGCCGCATACATCCGGTCAAGCTGGGTGCAGTAGAGATCTGCGTCAATGGTCCGACCATTTGGAACCAGCTCAAAGTGAGTAATGCCTTCGAAATTCCACCAAACACACAATAATGCCTTCCTTGAGAGTCGATCACGTTTTGGCTACCGGTTCCGCTACTTGCCCGGGATTCAACCACTGACTTTACTTGTCCGGATTACTAAAATAGACCCACTTTTCATCACAAGTCACAATTCGGCGAATAAAGCGGTCATCGCGCGGATTTTTTTTTTTGGATTTTTGAGACCAAGTTCGCCGTTCTTAAATTTTCGATACCAATATTGCGCAGTATTGTTGGAGATCATTCCTTCACCTTCCACTTGGCATATTTTTTTGGCCGTTTCAGTTGCATTCTTCTAGAAAGCTGTTCTAGAAACAGATCTGAACGTTCAAACATTAGCATGTCGTTTGTATCGATAAAATCGATAAGCTAGTCTACCCGTAGGCACTAGTGGGTAAAAAAAGTTTAAAAATCTAGCCTGTTTCCTTTTATTTGTGAACAAGTTTCAGCCATTTATCTTGCCATATAGTTACCGAAAAAAGACACAATTGAAAGCAACACAAACACCTCTGGAAACAATCACACAAGAAAACTCTCGATCAAAAAGGAAATGACCCTTGTTACGAGAATAATTGTCAGCAAATAAAAGCAGGTTAACAATATCAAGACTTTGGCATACAAGAAAGTGTGCAAAATCTCGGAAACATTTGAAACGAAATGACAAGCGCTAACCAATAGAGCAACCTCAGAAGAAATCTAAAAAAAAAAAAAAAACTCAGAAGAATTGAAAGCCGAAAAAATTCTTCAGAAAATCACAATAAGGCTTAACGGGAAAGAGCAAAAATACGAATGTACCTATGGATAAGATGCATCAAAATCGATCAAGATGAGCTTTGCATCCACGGTTCCGTTTCGCGATCCAACTGCACAGACGAGCAATGTTTCGGTAGCTTTAAGCCAAATGCGACCGCCAGATCCACCCCATTGAAGACGAACGAGGTCACG